AAATGCGCGTATCCAATACGTGTGATCGGCACAGGCTTATCCGGGCAATTCAGTGGAGTATATCGGTAACAGTAATTTTATACCCGTCATTGCGTTAAGTACCCAAACGGCGACAATAAAAAATATAAAGAACAAAAAAAAAAAAATGTAATGGTTTGCTTGCTGTGCCAAACGCCAGCCGAGCTCAACTACCGTGTTGACGTTTGACAGTTGCACCGGGCTCGGTACAAAATTACAAAGTCACGGTCAGAGTTGCGCATTATTCGAATAAATAGATTTTTTTAAATAAAATATAATTTTTTTTTTTATATCAATTTATACGTTATTCTATTTTAGTGGCTATTTGCATTGGTCGATCAGGGTGATAATATATCAACACCCAGAGTACTATTTTTTTTTAAATATATTATACATAACTATATTTTGTAAATTAGAAAACTTTTTTTGTTATCATATAAGTTTTGTACGAAATGTAACAAAAAAAAAAAATCATTTCGTTACAATATTAGGTAAATTATTATATTATACTATTTTTTATAATAAAAGAATAGTAACTTCAATTGTATTGTTTATTTTTTCACCTAACGAACACATTTTTTTGAAAACGTTTCTTTTCTTCAAACTTTTAAAAATAGATACAAAATTAATTTTTTTCCAATTGAAACTTGACAGACAGTGAACGCAGACAGCAAAGGAAAAAAATATGGTTCACGTTATTTAGTCCGGCCAAGAGGTTAAGATTTAAATAAGGACAGCTGGGAGAAAATAAGAACCGCCGTGTCGACTGTATTAATAATTGAAATCGTTCATTAATTTTCATAAAAGTTTGTCGAAACTCATTATTGAAAGTCCGTCGTCTGTCTAATCTAAATTTCAAACGATATTGCCTTTACTACTCGGCAGGCAATAATAAAAGACATTTCAAACACGTGCGATAATCTTCTCGATGAACTCAAAAGGTTTCTCGCAATTCGGTTAAGGTCTAAATTGGTTCTGCCGACTTAACGAATCCGGCATTACAATTTCAGCTGTTCATTTGCGGCTAAAAACGGTTGCCTCGTGCGGAAGCTTACGGAACACTGAACCGAATCGATTTGCATCAATACTACTTTGTTCGGTTCACAACTTAAGTCGGTTCGAATCACGATTTAGATAAAATTATAAAAAAAAAAAGTACGGAATCGTGTGGTAATAATAGAATACAAATAAAAAGACAATCCGGTTATTATAACACTAGTGTTAATATAAGTAGTGCTTATATTTTTAATTAGGTATTGTACAAACCAAATCGGCTTGACCGCAAATCGCCCACAATAATTGTATTATCATGTACTCGAGTAATTGCTTTGAACACTTTCGCGGCTTTGTCAATAAGTAAGTACACTTAGTAAAAGTGCGACTAAAAAAAAAAAACAATGTCGTTTAACACAATTTAGAAAAGCTGTTAATAACGATTAACGACTGCTGCGGTTAACACGGTATATAATATTATAATAATAGACAAACGTCGTCGAGGTTGGTTAAGTGCACTTTTTTTGCCTTTCATGTCATACTACAGGAGTTGAAATAATTATATTTTGTTATATATAAACAGCTACGAGTGCGGTATTTTCGAGTTAATTTCACTATAATAATGTGACCTATTAAAAACAATTTAACGACAAACACACCTGAGGGTAAACTAAAAGGTCAACATTTTTTACGATGACACCAAGTTTCTAAGCTTGACATAAACCCTTTCTGCGGGTCTTATGCTCCATTACACGCGTACATTTTTAGTCTGTAGAGACATTTAAAAATAATTACACGGTTTACAGTCTAAAGGAAGTCGGTAGTATAAAATTATTATATGTTGGAACGCGTTGACGCTTATAGTTACAATGGTTTTACATTTTAAAATCACGTATACAAGCAGTGTTGGACACAAAAATAAAACATTATTGTAAAAGTTAAAACCAACATTTTCTCAGGTACCAATATCAACTCTTCTAATAATTTTTTTTAAAAATTATCGAAAAATTTGTTTTTTTTTTTTCATATAATAACTAATACACTTTTTTCAATTTGTTTTTCGCTATTGAATTACATTTTGCCCAACTATGCATATAAGTTGAATTTTTGATGTGTTTAATGGGAATTTTTTTTAACATTCGTTTTATTAAAACATAAAATATAAATATAAAATACCTATATTTTATCGGCAGCTATTTTCCAATGACTCACGTTGTCATTATTAGTATGACCCACGCATGAGATTATAGCCTAGGCCGGTCGTATACAATGTACACCACAGGGTTCACTAGAAAGTCCTAAACTATAATCGCTATCGTCGTGGCTCGCAGTGTACCTATATTCAATAGTATAACAGCTTTAATAAAGTATAATATTGTTGCAACAATGTTAGCTTTTGGTAACAATGTCGGCTTAGAGTCTGCCAGGCCCGGTAAGTATTCAAATGGATAGGTGGATAATGTGCGGTTTATTTAAATTTTCTTCCGAGTCGCCTTCGCTTTAATAATGCACGTCGGTTCATTTTATTATTTCTTACGTTATTTCCTCGAACACCGTCGGGTCGCCCACTGATCAATTTCATCCACGCTATCTTATCCGACGCCCCTATAAAACATATGGCGCCACCCCACGTTGTCTCGGTACGCCTCGCACAATATGATCATATTTAATATTAATAATCTTTTTTGCAATAACCACCCGCTGGTAGGTAAGTAACCCCCTCCCCCTCTTCACAGTGACTTAGTTCGATGGATGAAAAACAATTCCTTTGCGACACTTATATTGTGGCCAGCCTGGCAACGCGGTCAGTCGGTTCTTCTTCAAGGTTGCAAATACTCAATATTATTGGCGACTTAAGTTCGAGTGTGTTTGTCGAACAAGCCGATTCCGTTTAAGGTAACGTTTTAGAGCGCAAATCGTAATTTGCATCTCACAAGACGATAATTAAAAACGATAATAAAAACACATACGGCATATACATACATTATAGTTTCTATGAACCGCCCCGAGATGTCCTTCTGGATAATACCATGTCTTCAGTAATAACGATAATTATTGTCGTGCCTGCCAGTCACTACCGGTAATGGCGTGATCTTAACATATTTTACCAGACCGAAATCACGCCGGTCGTAGCCAAATACAATTGTGTGTTATGTATTTGTATTAAACGTGAGTTACGTGGCTAGATTGTCAATTAGTCTACTATATTATGTTTTACATTCCGGGTCAGTTCTTTGCATTTATTTTTAACAGACTAGCAAATCGTTATCCGACAGGTTAACATTTTGTACAAATCGTCTCAAGGTAATTGTAGTATTATTCCAAATTGTTGATGCTTTCGACGTAACCTAGTCTATGATGAATACCTTAAACTATTTACACCTGTAATTATTATTATGAGTTGTTACAACGACCAGTTGGGTATTAAATTTTGTTTTTCCGAAAAATGGCACTACGTCAGCTTTGTATTTCACTAGATATTCACGCCGCAGGTGTTTTCAGTGTGTTGTGCTCTATCCTACCATTATAACATACCTATTTGTTCCTATAATAGGCCATAATATGTTAAATAGTATTTAATTGTACACCTTCCGTTGACTCGCCCCTTGACGCGGTCGTGCACGGCCGGGTCCTTTTTCTCTAATGGAAAACCTGTTGGCAATCACGAAGGTTATTGTTGTGAACTGCGTGACGCGTGGGCCGGAGACAACGGCAGATACATTAAAAAAAAAAAAAAAATACTTGCCTTTTCCTTTATAGCAAACGACCGCCGCAGCATCAATAGCGCTAAAGGACTCGTTTGTGTTTTTATGCGAGTATCGAACAAGAGGTAGGTACCTGTATAAGACATTATATTGTGTAAAATATAATATAAATACACACACACACACAACACCGCGTATAATTCGTTTTTGAAAATATACATTTAAAAGTATAATATGTCGTTATTCATCTGCCCACTTCCACTTCTTTGTGCTCGAGAGTAAAGGAAAATGATCATATGTATATATTAACGACTCTCGCTTAATTTTCAGTTGTTTGATGTTGGCCAATCAAAATACGCACGGACTAAATTCTTAAAGAAAACAAATTCTCATAACCATTTCTATTATTTTTCTCTTTTAATAAAACGACGCGATATATTGTGTGTTTTTGCCTTAAATCAAAATACTGTAACTATTGATCAATATTAATATTGTATTGTATTTTATATGTTACAATACTATTGTTATTGAAATCTTTGTATAAACTTATATACTGTTTACTGAATTCCGGACAACAGCTATTTTTGTGGTGGCTATAGAACAGAACAGCTTACAAACGGTTAAAAACATTCGCAATCTGTGACCTTATTTACAACGGTAATGTCTGTTGTAACGTTGAAGTGTAAACGTACCAACATTTCTTCGATTTAAACTGAAATAGCACCTAGAATTTGAAATTTCCACGAGATATATGTTTTTATGACTTGCTTAACTTATTCATTTATTAGTTATGATGGTAACAAAAAAAAAAAAACGTACACACATAAGTATTGTACTTACTCGTTTGATAAATGTCGTTAAAACTTAATACACTCGTGTTATTGGACTTATCTTCCAAAAAAGAAAAATCATTAATTTATGGCATCAGGCAATAATGACAAATATATGTATCGATGTCTCTAGCGAATTCAACTGTGTCTACACGTACTTATTCGAGCGTCGCATTGCCCGTTGTAAATTAATTCTCAAAGCTGTTCGATTCTTTGTTTGGATTAGATATGATATTATAGCATATATATATATATATATATTGTGTACACGTGTATAAAATTAGCATAAGTGTTTGCATTGTTGTATACAGTAGGTAGTGTATGGTCTAGACTGCACTTGGTTTAAACCGATACACGCTACAGGTACGTTTGCTTATTACGCTAGACGGCTGAAGATAAAAACATTTAACTTAATCATTTTCCTAATATTTATACGTTACGATTTCTGTTTCAGAATTAATTTCATGACATTATTCACCGTTGGTCACGATGAGCGTGCAGAATCTTAGAAATAAATTCAGCCAGAACAATGGGTCGGTACCTTACAAACCGCCCGGACTTAGCTACGCCAAACCGTCGGCTCAGACGTTGAACAACAACAACAATAACATTATGAACGGTCAGCACAACGGCTTCGGCCGGTTCAAGACCATTCGCGAGGAGCCGGACATAGAAAACAGACCGGCGATCAAGAACAACAGTTTCCTGCAAAACTATTTAGCCGGCGAGACGACCAAGAGCAACCCCCCCACGAACATGGTCAACGGCATGACCAACATACCCGTTGTGTCGAGATACGTTTCCAAACCGTCGACCGAGTCGTTTCCCAAGTTGCCGGCCAAATCGCCAGTTTTAGAAAGTAATTCGACGTCATCCACGAGTTGCCTTGCGGCGCCGCTAAAAGACTATAACAACGACTTTAAGCTTTTGGCCAACAAGTCTCCGCCACCTTCCATACCCGCCGACGGCGGCAAACACACCATCTCGAATTTGACTTCCAAGTACATCATAAAACCTCCGCCTCCGCCTATACCGACGGACGTGATGTCCAAGTACGGAATCAAATCGCCGCCGCCCGCGAAAACGGACTTCTCTCCCAAGTCGAATGGCGTAGGACACCTCGCGTCGCCCGGTAACGATGACAGATGGAAAGCCAAGTACGAAGAAACCGAAGCCAAACGAAAGAACCTCTTGACGCAGTCCCAAAAACGTGAGTATAACAATATGAGGTATTAACTTTATATTTCACCCGGGTCATCTTTATTCTCTTTCTTTTAGAGGAGAAAATTGAACAATTTCCCCAATTCCGAAGGCTAATTTGTTGCGATGCCTATATGGTGTTAAGCAACTCATTTCACTATGTATTGGTAGTAGACTACACTAGCATGTTAGTAGTACACTACTAACATCCTACTCGATCTAGCCGTTAAGTTAGTATATAAGTATGCGGACTTCACTCCCTAGTGAAGAGGTCCCTTAGCGTGATAAACGGTGTAGTGCTAGATTCGGCCATAGGCCCTTCAGAAAACTTTCCAGTCACCACTCCTTCTCTATTTCAAGTTCTGATATAAAATTCAAACAAATTTACAATAAACCATGCTTCTTCCATTTTCAATCGGTAAACCCCCAAAATCAGTGTTATTGACAGCAGATTTTTGCATTGTCACTTCCCATACACCCAACACCACCTTCCTAAGCACTGGCAATGTACACGACGTATGTATATCTGTATGAATCAGTTGGCCAAACCTCTGGACTTTGTGTAGTTGTTTAAAGGAGCTACGGGCGTCGTATTTAAGTGTCGCTTAATTTATGTTTTTTCTTTTAGTTTTGAGAGAAAAATCAGACGGGGAACGGCAAATAGCCAAAATCAGTACGGAGCTCGAATCCACCAAGAACGAACTAACGCAGAGAACGGCACAGCTCGACCAACTAAGGAAACGTGAGTACTCGTTTAGTTGGTTTTTATTGTGCAACTCTTATTAGAAAACAATTATACTGATACACAGTGTCCGAGGGTGTGTACAAGGAGTACGATCAATTAAAACAACAGTACGAAATCGAAACGGGCCAGCTTAACAAGGCAATAGAACGAGCTTCGCAGGTAAGCAAGCCGGACAAACAATTAAACAGTTCTAAGTGCCAATAAGGAATATATCCTATAAATATATTATTATGGTTGTAAATAATTGGAGCACGCTTCTGGTGATTGTTTATAGTGGTATAAACAAAACCGAGAACTGAAGAGAAGGAGTTCGGCTCTTATGCAAAAAGTCATGTCGGTAGCACCTGCCACGTTGGAAGATCTGGAAGATGACACTGACGGCAATGACGACACAGAATTCGAAGAACTCCGAAAGACCGTCAAAGGTAAATTTTATCATAGCTATAAAATCATTTTTTGAGAAATAAGCTAAAAGCTGGACTAAAGGTGCCATTGAATTAAAAGAGAAATATTATAGAAGGAGAAACGTCATTAATTGATGACAGAGAGGGCTTGTCAGGTCCACCATTTGGTGTTTTCGAGCAAGCTAGAACGTAAAATCAACTTGCCACTACGGCGGTTAAATTTTCTTTTTTTACCAGTCTCAGTTTTAATTTCCGAATCATGTTGCAGAGCTTACCCAAGAAGTTTCCCGTCTACAAGCTGAGCTAAACAAAATCAAACTTCAAGAGTTCGAAGCTCAAGAGCAAACGGTGGACTTGACTTCCGAGCTGGAAGAAGAACGGAGGGCGAGGAAACGCGCCGAACAAGAACTCAAGGTATGTACTACGCTAGCATAATCTTGGTTATCCCTCTACCGTTGACGTTACACCCGACAAAGGTTCTACTACATCGGTGCGTTTAATTACATTTTACAGGAGCTTAGCATGAAGCACAACAACTTGGAGAGCGTGAGCCGCAAAGTCGTGGAGGAGACCACGGATTTGCACGAGAGATACAAGCGAGAGAAAGAACAAGGAGTGAAAATCAGAAACGACGCCAACAAGGTATGGTTTTCATGATGTCAACTCAATTTGAATAATCCATAAGTCGTTCCGATCGGTTTTGTACAGGTCAAGTCCGAAAGAGACGTGCTTGCCCGTCAAAGTCAACTGCTCATGATGGACGCGGCATCCGATGAAAAAATAATGAAACTGCTATTCGAGGTGGAGCAATTACAGAGGACTCTGAGCCAAGAGCGGCAAGATCACAATGAGCAGTTACGTGAGCTACAAGTAAGTACAGCCGTAGCCGTGTGTAGTGTTGAGCGTTTCCAAACCAAAACCCATATACCTTCCAATCCGAAAATCGTATTTCCTCGATAAAAGCCACGGTACAAAACATTGTTCGCTCGCTTTTTAACGGTAGTGCACTTACAGGAAAAACTGGAGTGCCAAACGGAATCCGAACAGATAGAACTCTACGAAGAGAAACTGAAGCTGACCGAAGCCGAATTGATGTGCTCGCAGCAGAGAGCCGAAATCGCTGAATCTCAGAGTAAGTAGTGAACAATTTTTTTTTACTGCAATTTTGTACTGACCGCGTTGGTATTTTGCACTCTCCAAAGTCGCAGACCTGAGAAAGAAACTAGAATGCGCCAAACCTGCGGTCGCTGCGCCTCCTTGTGCACCACCTCCACCGCCTCCGCCCCCAATGTTCTTGCCACCCGTGCCGCCCCCGCCACCAATGGCACTGACGTCCAACAGCCTGCAGACCATCAAGTTGAAAACCGCCAGCACGTTGAACCACACCAACAACAGCGGCGGCGGCGGCGACTCCGATGCCATCCAGGAGATGAGCAATTACCTAGGCTTGCCGATAACGCCCAAGCCGGCGCAAGTGCAGTCGGGTCAGTAACAGCATCATTATGTCAAAATAAAACTATGCAATATGCATTTACTGTCGTTGTTTACAGGAGCGATAGATGCAATTGTAAATCAGATTAAAGGAGGGCGGTTCACTCTGAAAGCCACCGACAAAGAAGTAAGTGGAGGAGCGTTAAGAGCGTTGAGCGACTATGGAGATTTCAGTGTTAAATGATTTCGTTCTTGTTTTGATTACAGGTGAAGACTGCGGTAAGGAAGCAAGAACCTCCGGTGGTCAACGAAATGATGAACGTGCTCGGGACATTACGGCGGAACCCTAAGAGAAGGGACAGCTTTAAAACCGCCCCGGCCGACGTAGCGTTGTGAACAAAATATCGCATGTATTATATAATTATCACTAATTAGGATTAAGAACAGAAAAAACAATTTTAATCCCCGAACTGTGGGAAGTACAGCGTTTAGCGGACCAATATAGTTTATGACAAACATTTTATTTATTTTTGTCTTATAATTGTACTGATTTAATAATATTATTAATGATATATTATGTATGTATAATTTTTATAGATTGTTTTATATTGAGAGCCAACAAATTTGAATTTCATGTGATTTAAATCCATATTGTATTAACAAATAATATTTGCTTTGAAAATGAAGCGTTACTGGTGCCTTTATTTAAGTTTGTACTTGATATATTATATTATTTAGTATTAGGAAGTTCTTTATATTTTTTTTTTTTTTTTTTTAATATTTGTAAAATTTAATTTATGTTTTCTTGAACACGTTTACCTAATTTGTATTTGATAGTATAGTTCATGTATATATATTTTTATCACGGTGATTTGACAAAGATCACTGCGATATATTTTGTATACTGATGAGACAAACGATATATTTTAATGATTAAACATAAAAACCGATAGTCTATTTTTGATAACTATAGTTTATAATAATAGTGATTATAGTTGATGAAATCCATACATATTTATTTACCAACAATAAAAGACATTTGCTGCCGATTTATTTATTTTTGTTGATCAACAGTTATAACTGACAAGATAAGATTAAAAAAAAATTTTTTTTTTAAGTTTTGAAAAGTTATCTTACCGAAAATGTGAAAATTAAATAATATACTACCATTATCCAATAGTATTAACTATTGTTGATATTTAAGGAAAATATAAATTTTACTATACATGTGTCAACACGCTATTTTTAATTAGTTTGTATACAAGTGGATAGTACATGAATATGTTACTTAATACAAAACAAGATACAAAAATAGTTAAATAATATTAATAAATAATAGATATTACACTTGACTACTACCAAAATATTATGACCCATCACTTGACCAAATTTAACGTTCAATTTTGATCTTCGACGATCCGCCAGTTGAATTGCAATAGAATATCTTGACAAAAAAAGCACCTGTGTAAGGTTTTGATAAGTAACATCTGACATTGTTGTATAAGTTATCGAAGTCGACTACTAGAATTATTGAGAGTCACTTAAATCAGTAGTGCAGGGCATTGATACAGGACACACAAACTAGGTAAAAAGTGAAAATACATAAGTAATATTAACTGTTAAAAACCTGAACAAAAATAAAAACGCATTCAAAAGGTATCAATAAAAGTGTACAATTTATATTACAAGAATATTGTTCATATCACAAACAACGTTGTCTTTATAAATTTCATAACACATAAAATAACATAAATATCTTTAGGTTACTTGGTATAATAAAATTATACATACATAATAATAATAATAATAATAATATTTATAAAAAATGTACAAATATAAAAATCATAATAAATAATAATTAATAAACTATAAGGAACGTGAGCGTTTGGCGTAATTAATAAAACTATTCTTTAAGTGTCTTTTTTAAAAAAATTCCATTTCCCTCAGAACGTCTTGTTAACATTGCAAAAAGTACAAATATGTATGTTTATCTAAAAAAGTATTGCATAAAACAGCATGTAAAATTGTACAAAAAAAGTACCCCGGTTTAACTGTCCAAGGAAAGTGATAAAAAATCAAATCATATTTGTATAAAAAATGAACACTTGGTACATTTAAAATAAATGCAATTTCGTAATAAAAATAATGACTAGTATTATAGTAAATTTATGGAAGCGTTTTAGTGAATACGAGATTAAAGCGATGAAGCGATTATGAGATAAACATATATAATGAGACTACTGTTCGGTCGTTGGATTTGAAACGACTAAAGAATACTAGAACTTAAAAATAAAAATAAATAAAACAATAACGTGTTAGTGTAAAGCCAATGTTTACCGTACTTGTCGAAGGAACTAACACTTATATTGAACACAAAACAATAAAAAATAAATTTTTGAATTTTATCACATTTTTTCTTTTTGACATTATATTGTCGTGTCAAAACAATTAATTTTTTTTTTTAAACGTGTAAATTATACCATAAATATTATGTACACCTAGTTATTTACAACACACGCTATAGTTACATAATATTCCGAAATTAAATTGAAAATAATAATTATAAGCACCACATGTTATGTATAATAATTCCATAGATGTAAAAAAAATCATAATAATGATCGCTTAATGAACAGTCGTATTTACCATAATATATGGACAGATATATATTTTTTTTATGAACCAAATGGACTTACATTAACTACCATCGGTAACAACTAACAGTGAACAAGTAGCTAATTGACTAATTGGGCGCACGCTCGCTACCTGTTGCCAGCGGTACGGATAATTTTGGCAGTAGGCGCTTTTGGGCCATTTTGCATTTTGGCGACATTTCCGTTTTCGAATTTCTGCTGCATGCTCGCCACCTTCGACGGCCTTTCGTTGAGCTTTTTCTTCAGCCCGACCGTGGCCGTGGCCGTTGTCGGTTTAGCGGCCACCGCCACTACGGGTTTGGGTTTGATTATGGCCGGTTTGTCCACTGGCTTGGCGTCCAGCACGTCCGGTGAGCGGTTTATCGCGTAACGGTTGTCGTCGCAATTTTTTACTAAATCCGGTCGGTTGTAAACGACATTCGGCGGTTGGTTGACGGTACCGACGAAGTTGGATTTCGCTGGCCGTCTGGTGTTCTCGTACAGCTGGTTATGGTCGCCGTCGGCCTTGCTGGTGTATATCGACTCTTGGTTGCGTTCTTGTATGGCCGACACGATTTCGCCAAGCAGCGAGCTCTCCAACGGTCTGGGGACCTTGTACACGTTCTCTTCGGCCTGCGTAGGTGGTAGCGCAGTCTCGTCGATTACCGAGTAGATGTTCTCGCCGTGTCCTTCGTCCGCGCAGGTTCTGTTGGATGGCACCTGGTACTCGCCGTTGGAGGCCGGAGGCGGTTGGGGCGGTGGCGCCGAGGGCCGAACCGTTACCACGCTGGCAGGCCTCTTCGACGACCGCATCGACCCGAAGTTGGGAATGGACGGTCTCTGCTTCGCGGCGTTGTAACGCAAACTCTGAGCTCTCAGGACGACCGCCTTATGCTGGTCTGCCTCCAATGGCAGTGATTCGGAGGGCACGTTGATTTCGTTCTGTAGTATGGGCTGCGATATTTCTAAGTTTTTCAACAGTTCCTTGTTAAATTTGGCGTTGGCTTTGACCGCCGGCGGCGCCGACTTTTTCTCGTCAGGTTTATGATTTTTCATGAACGACGTGATCCTGCGCAACGTGGGGTAACCCCCACTGCCGCCCGCCGCTTTGGTGTCCACGTGTACGGCAGCCGCCGACGATGGCCTACGGCCCGGACTGGGAACGGACGGGGCCGGCTTCAACGGCATAGACACCAACTGGCGTACGGCCGACGAAGTGGTGGCGTCCAACACGGGAAGGCCAATTTGAAGTTTTTCACTCGTCGCTGGCTTGAGTGAAGGCGCTGTCGGTGCCGGTCGGACGGGCGTCAGCGAAGGCGTAATAATCGGTTTTGGCGGAGGAGGCGCCAACGGTTTGATGGTAAAACCTTTGTAGTTTCCAAGAAAATCGTTTCGGAACACCGATTGATCGTTCACGAGTGGCGTGCTCGAAGGCGAAACTGTTCCGTTCGGCTTCTTGCTACCAACTTCCGGATCAGTACTATTGAAAAAAGAGACGTTTACAAAATGAAGAACCCGCAGTTAAGATGAACAGTACCCAGAAAAGCTATGAAAATGCATATGCACATTAAACAACACTGTAAAAATCACCATGCTTGTTAGTCTACATATAATAATTTAATGTTAGTTTCATGCAAACTGTGTAAATCAAGACAACCGTTTCGCCAAGATGGAATACATAGTGTTGTAACAAAATATATAGTGTTATGCGTAACGTTAATTGAGCCATAAATTCAGTATGAGACAAAGAAAAAGTTTTACACTGTTAATAAAGCTACGCCCATTGCCGTTCTAACCATTATTGTTAACCTAACCTACCCTTCGGTTACGTGTTTTCGCCATCAAGAAGAAAATGGGGCCCTAGGTTACTTGCCTCCCCCCCCCTTAGCACGGCCCTGAGGCTATGCCATAGTTTATGATTGTCTCGGGCATAAATTAAATGCGGCTGCCCATAACTCTAGCCATTTTTTTGTTAGTTTTTGTAGTTAGAATTTAGACATCGGAAAACTATTATGGTGTACGCCATGACACTTCATAATTTACCAAAAATAAGATTGACAAGACAAGAAAACGATGTGCAACAGTATTATTAGATTCCCGTTAAGAGTACGTTTACAGTCGAGTAACTAGAGAAAATATTAACATCAATAGACCGAACTGTATTGGTTGCATTCACCCGGTAATGGACAACTGAACCAATTAAGTTTTGAGAAACCCAGAGTGAGATTTTTTTTTTTTAATGGGAATACGAAAGTCAAGAAGATCTTTAGGTAAAATTAAAATACGACAGATATCCGTTAAAGGAAGAATTGTAAAAGAAACGACTCCGGCTTTGATAGATTATTGGTTTTGGGATCCCCAGACGCCGTCTTGCAAATAACTGTTGACTTGAGGATTGGTGGTGTACGCCAAGTTGGTAATGACAATATCACTCTTTGTTAACCTAGACTTGATCGTATCCGATGCATATGGAGTCGTCTGCGGTTCGGTGCATGCGCTGTTGACATAAGCGTTTTCCGGAATGGTGTCGTAAATGGGCTCGGGTACGGCGCAATGGTAATAACTACTGGCTTCGGAAGGCATGGAGTACACATCGTAAATGTCGTCCTGGTCGTAATTCGAGACCAACGACGACACTGTGTTTACGCTGTGCAAGGGTCTGGTCGACCTAGCCGTGCAAGTGGTGCTACTACCATCATTAATACTACCACCTCCATTACCACCACCGACCAGAGGTCGCAAACGTCGTGCAAACGCAAAGTGTCTAAATACATACGGTAACTTCTTCCGGCTACTCTTATTCCAATCGATCGGGGCCCGCTGTCGTTTGGAACAGTAAGCGAACAACACAACGGCCAGCAATAGCGGTATAGTGCCTAAGGTGAGCACGTACAATCCCGTCACAACTCCCTTTGAGGCTGAAATTTAAAAAACAAAAGAATTAAAAACCATTTGGTCAGGATTCTAGTCGGTCACTTACTGTTCGGACTGGACGCCGGGCCTGAGTCATCGCTTCCTCCGGGTCCGGGTTGATCGCAATAAGGCGGAGCGTATCCGGCCCTACAATGGCAGTTTCCTTTGCTGTTGCAAATGCCGTTTCCATGGCAATTGAACGGACACTGTTTGTTCTGGGCTCTAACGTCAGCCACGGCCATGCATTTTTGATTCACACACATCTACAACACAAAAACAAAATATTGAAGTTTAAAATTTCCGGTACATACTAGATATAATAAAAGACAGTGAGAGTGTTAAACTTTATAAAAAGAAAGAACATTCTACCAGACGACTCCGTTTATAAGGGATAAAGCGAGGAAGAACATTTAAAACATATAATCATTTAGGTTAGGTTAAAATTTAAACAAGTTACATAAAAGTTTGAAGAAAACAAACCATATTTTCTCCACATTTGGCACCATCTGGCGTCAGACCGGGATCGACATTGTTGAGTCCCAAGTCGACGATAGCCGTCCTGCAGGGTATAAGCCCTCCCGTAGGGCTGTTGATGTACGAATGCGAAATTAAAGCCACCGTTTCCATACCAAATTCCAATTTCTCGTTCGCGTGTATACAGTGTAACATGCCACAAAAAATATCGCTGGGAACGGCAAAAAAAAAAACCAATCAATAGATTAACAGAAAAATATCTAACCGGTACATTTGCAAAACTAGAGGGAGGCAGGAAGTTCAAACCTTTTAAAGACTCTTAAAACTGCCCAGAATGTCGGTAAAAAGTAAAAACGTTACTCGAAAGCTCCGTCTGATTGTATGCTGACATTTTTTAAAGAGCCTGGAGCGGTTTAAAAGGATTTTTACTCCTGTAGCTCCCCCCCTTCTCCCTCTCTAGTTGCGCCAATGTGTACGCGTTTACGTTTTGGTCACCAACGTACTTGTTTTCGCATTTTGAAAACGTTTTGTTCAACCGGTTGTAACCGCAGTTACCCTGTTTCGTCCCCTTGTTATTCATCTTGTAACACTGGATCGGCGACGACAATCCCGTCGGACCCCACAGTAGGCGACACTGGTCCGTGTGCGAACGACAAGTTCCCTGATAGCAGTACGCCTAGAACGAAACAAAACCCGTGTCAATCAACGACAAATCCAAACGGATTTTCCGACGGCTATTACATTTGTATTGTCACAGGTAGATCCGTCGATTTTGTAAACGTTGTCCGGGCAGTATTCGGAGTCGCCGTCGCAGTATTCGGGTAGATCACATTCGTGCGGTGCCGCTCGACATTCAACGCCCGCAGGCCTCGGACGGCAAGTCTAAAAAAAAAAACCCGGTTCTCCGTAAGTACGCCATAACGTGGTTTACAACTGTTTTGCGCCCGAAACTCACGTTTAAATCACAGCATTTTCCAGTGGCGCAAGTGGCGTTAGCGAAAAGCATGCACGTTTCGGGGTTACAGCAAGGATTTTTACAGTTTTCCTTCAAACCGCAATCGCACTGCTCTCCGGGTTCCACGAAATTGTTTCCGCACACCGGACTTTCGAACAGCCTGGATAACATTGATGAACACGATTAATAACAAAACAATGGAAAAACAAATAAAAATGAATTTTACTTTTCCGGTTTGTTTCTCAAACAATAGTCCATGCCGCGTTGGAACGCAAAAGCCAGATATTCCATACTGCAAGAGCTCCAATGCGTCGGACTCATGGAACTAAAGGAAAAAAAATATGTTCTGTTATAATAATGTGCTCACAGGCAGATGAGCCTACACCAGGCAAATTCCGGTAGGCTCTTTTCTCAGTACGCTTTTTCTACATGACGTATGTTACTCAAAGCATGAAAATATGCGCAAGTGTTCAACCAATAGTATTTACTACTAATAAATAATAATTTTAAACATTTCCCCAATTGAGAAAAAAAAATACAGAAAAATATAAAATAAAAATTACAATAAAGGGCGATAAGAGAATTGAAATTAATATAAACCTATTTTATTTGATTTCTATTACGACGACGGCGGGCGATAACTGAACGGCGACGGGAGTTGTGCGAAATAAACTGGGTTTCCGTCAAGATTAAAAATAAAGCAATGTTTAGTTGAATGATAACAAATGATAAGTATAAAAAAAAAAAACAGTGTGCTCTAGGTTTCAACCATTTTTTTAAGTATTTTCTTTTTGTCTATATCACATCTGCGAGAACGGCTATTAAATAGACATATTGCCTAAAAAAACACTACTCACCCCGAAGACGGTGCCATCACGCATCGCTCGTCCGGACAGTCGCAGGTGTCCGTGTCGTGTTCCATACCCAAGTTGTGACCCATTTCGTGGGCTATCGTGGTGGCCACTAGACCCACCACGGAACTATGGTCGCTATTGACGCCGCCGCTGTACTCGAACGTGCAAATCGGTCCTTTTAAACCTTTGCCGACGATTCCGTGTTCGAATTGTACGTTGCTGAAATAACAACCGAGATATTACCGAGCGTAGAGCTAAACCGTCGTCGTTTAAGTAGATTGAACGACGGGGGCAGGGGCACGGGGTGACCTAATTGGAAGGGGGGGGGGGTGAAATTCTGTTCGGGAAACCGCTATACACATATGATAACGCTGGAAAAGTCATTACGTGAGCAGTTGAGCGTTGTCGTTGGGATGTTCCTTGACCAGGTGTTCGCGACGATAGTGCAAAAAGTTGGTCAGAGTAGTGTCGCCGTTTCGGGCCACTGTGATTTCGTTGTAATCGGTCCACACGACTACGCCGACCAACGCGACGAACAGGTTCAACGGCATGTACAGCTGTAAAACAAAATAATAACACAGTTATTATTGGTGGTTACCCGAGAACGTGTAATTGTTATACATATAGTAATATTTCTGAAATCGAGTGCGTGCCGAGTAAGTAACGGCGAGTCAACTCTGAACTCACCGAATTGATGATGTTGGCAATGTCTTTGGCGTGCTTGTGCACTTCCGACAAGTTGCTGTTATACGCCTTGTATTCCTCTTGGTCGATGACCAGCACCAGCTCGATGTACCGCGAATTGTCGTTTTCGTTGTACGGTCCTCTAACGGCCTTCTTGGTGTCTCTTTTCCACTGAACAAATCGAAACAACAGTCAATAAGTGTAAATAAGACTCCATTAAGGACAATACGAAAATGTGCGAGACTCACGCGTTTAGTTGTATTTTGATTGATTTCTTGCGGCGAATCCGTAAAACCTAAACCAAAACAAAAACTGTGTAATTAAAAAAAAAAAATACCGTCACCGTAAACGACGCTTAAGTGCACTGGCGACGCAAAGCATTTTTTTTTCTTCAATAACCGGTGCGTGGCAAAGTCGTACAGAAATTTTACCCGATACGCGGTCACTACGATGATAACTGTACTTTTAATACCATGGCTATAATTGTATAAAAATAGATGTGTTTTTCCGTTGATAATTAATTCGTTTAATCAAGATTGGGCAAAATCAAATTCGTATGTGGCGCTAACCCCCCCCCCTCTCCTCCCTTCTCTTACCCAATACCACCATGTCTCAACTCAGCGCCGCCTCGCAGCAATTATCGAGTAACGCCGGTCATCTTTATAAGTCTTACCGCAATTACGATTACTGTTGTAATCGTTGTGTTTGTACAGCACGTGATATTTATCACCGAAATCTGGGCTAATGTTTTCGATGTAATGGAATGATTGCCCGTCCGAAAACATTCCTCTGTACAAAACAAAATTAATAGAGTTAAAAAACAAAGCAAAAAATAAGTATAATTTAGTTGCTCCGATATGCAGTAGTGAAGGTAGTTGTTTTAAAAAATAATGACAGAGTCGGCAATAACCCGGATTTTTTTTTTTAACCGACTGTTAAGTTTTTCTCGCATGCCCGATAAAAACCCACTTTCCCGGCTAAAACGAAAAAAATCCGGGTGATTTTTTTATATTGCCAACTCTGGATCCTTGAGAACTTTTTAGATTTACAGTCTATAAATTATAAGTACTCTATAGAAAGTACTGTCATTAAACATTTAAAAAGTTCACTTCTTTGTTTCAAAATCCATAAAACACCTCAATAACGATATATGTTTTAATTTCACGATGGAACTTTCCGAAATAGTACCAAATGGGTTTAAATAAAACTACTGTCAAAAACCCGTGGACAATTTTTTCGACTAGTTTTTGGACTTAAATGTCTGTTAAATGAAAAATTGTTTGACAAGTTTGTGGCCAGATAATAACACCGTGACAAACACAATTAATGTGTATACAATAGTTTGCTTATTGATATTTAATCGTTTTCCAGTGTACAGATTTAAATCGCGGCGTTTTTCGAAAGTGATTTTGTAACACCACCAATTAAGTTTATTTTTTTTAATTTCAAAGCACGCACCTAATGCCGTCGCAAGTGGAAATGGCCGCCCAAGAGTCGGGCAAACCGCGTACTTTGCCATTGTAGTGACACAACTCGATTTCCTATTGACAAAATAAAAAAATAAATATAATAATCAGACTTCCGTTCAAGTGGACAGTAACAATATATGAACCACATCATTACATTGGCGTTCGGCTTGTTCACCACGTATGTCCCGTTGTGTTGGTGTTTTTCGAAATATTTGGCCGGTATAAGATCACTAGAAAGACACGATGTGTTTTACATGATAGCTTGTGTTTAAAATTCTTATTATTATTATTATTATTATTTTTTTTTTACAGCGGTATAAACTATACCTGTTGAGACTGAGATCGAGAATATAGTCTTTTCCGTCGTCAACAAAATGCAACGTGATGTCGTGGACATGTTCCAGACCATCCTGTAAAACCAAAACAAAATTAGGTTGTGTGCTTTAAAGCAAAACAATACAGTACAGGCGTAGTGAAACTCGGTCGATTATTATTAAAATATATATTTCATAGAATAATAATAATAATAATAATAACAGTAGTAGTACTGAACGTGTTGACACAATATATTTCTCAAACAAAGTGCACAGAAAACCACATAATAATATAGTCAGCCCTACATCTACTTCTGCTTAATAATAATAACTTAACCATAACACATAAATACTAAAAAAGGTAAGTGAAAACTAACGATATCCAGTGACGACCGTTATTGTGTAAGTCAATAGTTGTATTATTTTACATAGAAATAAATGTCGACGGGTTAATAAAAAATCGTCTCCACAAAGTTGGAGCTTAATCGGGGACTTGTTTAAAGTAGTTTCGAACATAAGAGCCGATAGCAAAAGCTGCAATAAAATGTTTTATAATTATTATTATAAGTGCATACACAATCAATACAGATAACAATAAAAATAAATAACACCGAAAATAATTATAGTACTATAATAGATATCGCAGTATATTATAAGTGTTGCCAGTTATTATCAATTAATGCACTTATACGGATGCAATATAACTAAGTGCATGCTTGCAACCCTATCTTTCATAATGCTCCAAATTATGGAACATTCGATGATTATGTACTAGTTCCGTATTATAATTATTCTGCATTTTAATATCATGAACAATAGGACATAACTGATGCTGAAACATTAATTCAATAATGCCCGAGTTTGTGGTTGTGTGACTATTATTTTCTAAACATAATAATATGTTTATATATGATATTATCATTTAAACTGAAACTACAATAAATAATAATAAACTACGATTATTGTTTGTTATGATTTTAATATAACAGAAGTTAAGAGCCCATCAGGATTAATGACTATTCGTTTTGTTTCAACGCGCGTAATAAACCACAGAGACAAATATTAACATCATTATAATAGCATGCTCTGTCGCGTGACTTAGTGCTTGTATGTATTTACACCGGGTTAAATTGTAAATTAAAGTACAAAATTCGCATAATTAAACAGCACAGGTAGGTTCGGTCGGACACAGACACACGTGCAGTACAATTTCAATGACATTACATATAATGTTATTATGTAAACGGGAAAGAAAATATCAATTTTTTTTTTTTTTTTAATCGTTGTGTAACATTATAACTATCATTATCGTCTATGACGGCTGGTGTGTGCTACTGCGCTGTTATAATATTACATGGCGGATCATATATTATTATGATTTCACGTTAGAATAAAGTACAATGGCCTCGCGCAATCAAAATTCAAGTTGTGGGATATCCGGTCTGTGGCGGCGGGACACATTTTTTCGCGTTATTCCGTTAATTTTATACGGACAACAGCGACGAATATTGAACAGAGAAGCGGTAATGAAGGCAAATTACTTAATACTAATGACAAAAAAAAAAAAAACATTTGACAAGCGCGAGATTATCTCGAGTGATTCTTCTTACGTCCCGCACGCGCAGAGATTTCCAATATTTATAGGAATCCCTCTTGTATAGCGTTATCCCAAAATCTAACGGTTAGCGTGTATATTGAGAAATCATTATACGAGCGTCCTCCTGGAAGAATTTGTTTACAATTTCAGGAAATAAAATCGTCGGCCTACAAGAAAGACACGAGGCATGACGCATGGCCGGCCAACGATTTCCTTGAACGTACAGGAGAGGAGACGTATCGTGTTGTGTTTAATACATTGTTAATAATGCACAAATACACACACGATCAAAGACCTTGGATGAGGTATATACGAGTACGAGAAGAAAAAACCCGGCCGACCGCGTAATAAAAATTTAGTTTTTTAGCTTCGACGCGAAACTGCTTTTTAATTGAACCTGTAACAATATTCTGAAAGTGTGCAAAAAGAAATCAAATCTCCCAAGTCGGCAAAAAATAATCTAGTTAAGCTCATCAAATGTTTAATATTCACCAAAAAATGAAGCGCTAAGAATACAAATAGAGTGCAAATAATTCTCATGACAATTTGCAGGCGAGCAAAGTGAAAATGTTGTTGTTACGGGTAAAATGTTTATTATCTCTTCCGAATACCTCCTTCAGAAATTTAAGCCTAATTGTAAAACCAGTACAAGTAGAAAAAATAATGCACATTGACGAATGTGTGAACAAAAACGCATTATTGAAAATATGGTTATCTGCACCCTTTTAGTTTTGATCACATCAAATATAGGTTTTATAAAGCTGATGCATACCAAAAAAAACTTATCATTGACAACTCTGATCAAAAAGCTAACGAGACACGAAATTGTATAAAAATCTCATCACCATTAATTTAAGCACTTCACAGCAGACACACTAACAGATTTAATAACAAGGGTTTTTTTTTATACTTTAAATCGCCATTTGGTACTACCCATTAACACTTTATTTGTATTGTCTACGGTCGTTTTTTTTTATATTAAATAACAATAACATAAATGTCCGTACTTATGTTAGTCAAGTGTACTTATTTTATTATGTAAAAACATGTTGCCAAGTTTCTTTTACTAAGAATTAACTTGTCACTGACGGGAGAATGAGATCACTGTCTTTGTTTTATCTGCCTCATCATTAGGTACTATTATTATATTTTATATATTTCCTTGCAATTTTTTTGCTACTTTGTTCTTTATATTATTATTAGAACCGTCACAGGACGCACAAAAAAACAGATATAGTGTGTGTACCTAATGTGTGTATAAAAACACCGAGCCAGCAGAGAAAACGCCAAGTCGAGATACAAAAGATATTAGCAACGAATTTTCTAAACGGATAAAAGAACACAGATTATGCGCATCTACTAGAGAATTAATGTATCTATTCATTAACCAGATCAAAAGCCGTCGTCATCATAAATTGTATAATATTTTATATATTTTTGACAACGACAGCAATGAAAGTCCGCCAAAACCATCGTAACTTCTTTTATTGAGCGGTACTAACTAAAGTGATGTTAACTAAAAAGAGAGGGGACAAGTTGGTTTTTTTTTTAAACGAGTTTTTGATCAAACGTTGTTTGTCAACGAAACCTTTACAGAGTTGGCGAAAAAACCAGCGAGCCATAACAACACACAATGGGAGTACAATTTTTATTTTGCTCTCCTGTAATAAATTCTATAAGAGCCACTTGTATACTTTAGATTTTTACAATATCATCAATTACTTTTTGTCAACAAATCTACTAATCGAAAGGTTAACATTTCATAGGCAAAATTTTAAAAATACACAACGATTACAAAAAAATATGCTATTATCTTATGTTACAGTATTTGTTTAAATTATATATTGTTAAGACATTCCGAACAAGGGTTTCGGATGGGGGACCGGAAACCGCACCCAGGGTAAAATCGTCTGGGATCGTACAACGCACACTCACACATAGGCACAAAATAATATTATGTTAATAACGTATTGTAGGTACCTAAACAGTAAACTCACACACAAGTATCCTTTTTTTTCTTTAGATAAAAAACGCCATACAAAACGCATATAGTTTAGAAAACACTTGATACAATCGACTTAAACGCGCCAACAGCTTAACACGATACAACGTTTTGGCATATATGTATATAAATATTATATTACTATACATGATACTTAAATGTGAATGTACCTACAGGCCGAATACACTTATATGTGATCACAGTCAAGTCTTCAACTGGAAATGACTCACGGCGGTTATTTTATACCGCAATAGTATAATAGAGGTTCATCATCAAATTATCATTTGAACGCATTATATTGCAGTGACTAGGTGGTGTACCTATATTGTACCGGGAGAGATATCCTTCACCTACATGACCGTAAGGTTATACATGTGGTGCTATGCTATTGTTGTATATTATCCATCCTGCAGGTGGAGGTGAAATGAAAATTATACTGTTGTAAAAAATAGCCAGAATGATCAAAATACTATATTTTCCATACAACACCACATATCTGCACTATAGTTCTAGTTCAAGTACATACTACTGTTAGTAACCTAATTAAACATAACGAACTATAAATGTACAAAGAAAGTAATTGTATTTATTTTATAATACCTAGAAATAATTGAAATAATTCAATAATAATATAATAGCCGAGTCGTAAAGCACCGTCAAGCAAAGCTAACTATTATTATTATTACTACTTTTTTTGCTAATATTAAATAAAGTTATTAACAAAATGAAGGTTTTTTATACATTATAACTGCGATTAACGGTAAATTGAGCGTGCGTAATAAAGAACATTTGCAATATTTGTTTTATACTAATAAAAAAAATATGTTGATAACAAGTAACAACTATCATAACCATTCAATCATTATCATGTATCATTATAAATAGTACAAATTTAAAACAATGTTCCAATAATATTTACCGAGCTTATTCTTGTCGATTCAATTTCCCTTTTGTGTCTCGCATGAATCAATTTCGGTTCGATAAACGTGTGACTATTGAAATCTGGAGCAATTTCATCAGTTTTTAAGCCTATACAAAAAACACAATAATTACAAAAATGTATAATAAAAGAACAATAAACAGTTAATTGTTCAATGAAACTATGGTGTTTCAAAGGCTGCAAATATAATAATTTATAAAGCATATATTTATTTTATAGTGTAACAACCTAGTAAAATAATACAAATTGTAGTTCATAATTAAGCTACTAATAGTTATAAATCAAATCAATGGCAAAATTTGTTTGGCACACGGTTAACAAAAATCGAATTTTTTCAAAAATACATAGTTTTTTTTTTACAAAGAGAGATTTATTGTCGGTTATTATGTTTTAAAACATAACAACGGGTTTTAAAAATCCTTTTAGAACGGAATAAATTTATTATAACTGTGAAATAAATAAAAAATAAAAAAATGACATATAGAAAGGAACAGCAAAAAATAAAAATAGTAATTCTATAGGTACTATAGGTACTTATTTTGAATTCACAAGAAACAGCTAACCGATAGGTATATGTTTGACGTTATCTTTATAGTAAAATAAAAAGAAATTACTTATGAGAGTAAACATGACCGTGCATTGTAATAAGTAAAAATTATGAATGTATAATATTATGCAGACCACAAAGAAAAGAAAAAAAATCTCAATGTACCGGAAATATATCCAGCTGCCGTTTCAAGTAGAGTATATTTTTCCATAGCATGTGTCAGCAATTGGCTTTTAAATAAATAATTTTTCATTAATACAAGAATAATATAATAATTGTAGAACCGATCATTTTTCTCAGTAAAAAAATAACATTGAACAAGTTAAATAAACTAAAGAATGTTATCTTAATATTAGTACATGTGTTATTATTATTGTATTATCAGAATAATAATAAATAATTATTTACTATTATAGGTGTATACATAAACATTATTATTTTGCAATCAATGTAATTATCATTCCAAGTTGTATGTATTATTTTGGACTACCTAGTGCTGAATCATGTATAGATAAAAAACAAAATAAGCAATTATAAATTTATTATAAAATATAGTAATGTAGTAAATATGGAGGAAAACATGTTGTTGATCTGAATTCGTAAATAATTTAAATATTTTTTATAGATAGAGCTGTAATGTTAATAAATCTATCCATTAGCATACTATTGTACTATTGTACACGTACCATAATTAGTGGCCTAATTATCATTGATTATTCTTGCTTTCCATAAGGTATAATCATCTCATCGACGTCAATAGTGGCTACTTCCGTTTTCAATTATACCTATCAGTTTATCAAGAGGCTTTATTTCTGTACAGATCTTAAACGGCGTCGAAATTAAAGAAGATGTGTCATTCCACTTCTACCGTTCCCATTGATAGAAAACAATATATACTACCATTGACGCCGGCAGCGGGCAGACGTGTCGTTTTTTAAATTAAACCAAATTCGTTTTAATGAATTGCACATATTATAAACTATAATGAACTATTAAAAGGTCTTCTTTGTATGTACGAGTGTGAGCAATGGCTCTGTGATATAAAAACTCTACAAAATTAACTAACGGAACCATGCATATTTTTAGTCTTATGGCGAATCGCAAAATGTTCTGTCAATAGAACAAAAATTACAAATCAGGTTTACAATCAAAAACCTTAAATAAATGCTATAATTACAAACCTCAAAAAAAAAAAAGTTCAAAAAGTATTAATACTTCTTTATTGCTGTTAAAAAGTCAAAATGTATTTAAAATTAAGTTATAGCATACATATCATAGTATACATTACACTTTTTAATAGTATCCCTATTCGTCTATTTTATAATAATATGAATATATTTTTTCTTATAACTAAACCAAAAATCGGACATTTAGCTCATAAAAAAATAGTATTTATTTTATGCCTCTTTGTAAAATCTCTTTCTGTTTCTTTCAGTAAGATTCTCCTTTTTTTATAAAATGGATACTCTAGAGTCTAGACCCACCGAGAGAACACTAGAAATTTCACTGGAATTTGCAAAATATATATTACATATTTTTAGACGTGACTAATTGTACAAATAAATACAAATTTAACAGCTTATCAATAACTATTTGCACACTGGAATTTACAGTATTATATATTTGAAATTATGACAAACAATTAGGTTAAATAATAAGTATGCGGGTTTAACTCTATGCATAATACGCACTGGGCGAAAAAAAAACAATAAAATCAGTCATACGCTTAAACAAAACAAACTGTTGACTGATTTGAATTGAACAACTTTTAATTACGCTAATTAGTCGTCATGCCACATCGTGTTCATTAGTAATTTTATTTACAACAGCGCTAGTATGACACAGAATCGTTTTTAAAGCTAGCGAACATTATTTATGTAACAGCATTATATTCTATTACGTTTTAATGTTAAAAAGGAAAAATGCGTAATTGTAACTACTTATTTAAACAATTGTCATACAACTAACACCAGGCGCCAACTGCGCTAGAATAAAATATTATATTGTCGATGATATGCGCTTCTTTTTTTTTCAAACATAACAAACGGGTTCTATTTCCTTTGTGCAGGCATATCATAAATATTATGTTTGACTTCCATGGTAAAAAACTTATAATCATGAATTGAGTCTTGAACAGTTAATTTTTCATTATTATTCATTTAAGTCACAATAACAAGGTGTTCGGACAGTTGTGGGATAATACTATTCCATCAGACTGTGTGTAAAACAATAGTCTGATTGTAATACATAACAATAGTGCTTGGAGTCCGCGGGTTACGTAATTACATTTTATTTCTAGTTATGTTTTATAATCGAGTCAGACAACACGAAACTGGTTTTTTTTTTAAAGTTCAGTTCAAGGTCGAAATTCAGAATATCGCGCATACACCGAGCGGGATTCCATGTAAATAGGTATGATGTTTTTTTATTTCCTATTTACTATTTTGGAGCCAACAGTTCGCGTACCCTCCTTAACCGGTCAACACGACGTGCTCGCAACAAACGACACGAAAACAAAACATTTTTTGTTTTTTTCTTCTTAAAACAATTTGTTGGGTGTCCGCACGAGAGGATCAAAGGTCTACGAGTTTTTTTTTTCTTTTGGCAACATTTCTAGAAGCGGTCACGTCCATTTATCTAACGCCTCCAAACCCGGTCTAAAGACAGTAGGGAAAAGACAATTTTAACAAGAAATTAATTTTCGAAAAGTGTTAGCGTGAAACACAAGGATCGCCCTCGGCCGGGACACGCGGAATGTTTACATGTCGACGGTGCACAGGGCACATTTTATTTATAGCAATCCCATATGGCACAGCATAATCCTAAATAATACAACGCACGTAGTAGAGTATATCCCTTTGGCTCGTGGTACAACACTTTGACAAAATGCAACCCGTGTGTGCTCTCTACACATACACATACACACCTTTGTTTAGATTTCACAGCGCTGATTTTGTTTATAAGCGGACTACGCGTTTAAATGATTATACGACGTTCCCAAACGGGTAGTCGACTTGGCCTTAAACCGTGTTTAAGCCGATTTTTTTTTTAATTTTTTGGACAACACTATGGTTAACGACCCATAAACAATAAGGCCGATTAAGCGATTATTTTTACAATCCAAAACAAACGTGGTACAAACAACGAACACAAAATATACAAAACCGCGTTTTAGGAAACGCGTTGCGGGCGGATGGGTTTCACATATTTTATAATATAATAATACATACACAGCATGTCCCAAAAGTGTCGAGACAACCGAAGAAGCTAAACGATTTATTTTATTTTCTATTATTCTTTGGGGAAAAAAATAGACATAGGAAACAAGTGTTTGATTGATTAATATTAATATTCGAAAACAAATCTTTTAATTAAATACTATTTTTACCAAACCAGTTAAAGTATCAAAATATATTGTTAGCAAATTAAAAAATTGAAAATAAAACAGAAAATTCATTTGAAAAACTCAAGAACGAACTTATCTTAAGACGCGTCACAAAACAAAAAAAGCAAATAAAATACATTTTCTTAAAGGAATATCTTATATTGTTTAAAATTTTTAAATTACCTATTGACGATTTAATTATACTTATTAAATGATTATATTTTTTAATTAAAGTTAAAAATAAACTATTAGTGACGATAATTTAACTATTTGTGTTTATTATTAATTTATAATTACATTTTATTTAGTAATTTAATTTGTTTTGTTTATTAACTTATATTAATAAATAAGGAGGTGATAACATAGATTTTTTTCAGACAGACTACACGTTATCCAATTAATCATCTCCCGGCTATGGTTAAGTCGTACCTAATTTAAATTAAGTATACATTTGAATGCCGCGAGACTATTTGAACATATAAATAATTATTACTACACAAAAAAAAAAATAATAAAACACACATATAATATATTAGTGTAAACAACATTAATTGTTTAAACAGGTTTACTGCTAACCCAACAATCGATGTCATGCGGTAGTGACGACCCAGACAAAAGCCTACGACCGATTAAGGTCTAGTATAAAAAATTATTATCAGTAATTAATATTATTATACGGCTATGATACAAATCAGTATACGCTACCGAAAAACCCTGTAAGAAACAAAAACGGAAGGCCAATCACGTAATTATTGTTACAGCGCTTAGTATCCGATGACACATTTTTAAAATTTTATAATTTAACCTAATGAATAAAATGACTCACAAAATACTTTTGAATAATTATGCCGTTTTGTCATTAGACCGCGCGAATTTCCGACACGCAGTATAATAATATAGTCGATGAATAATAATTATTTTATTACTATATAGTATCTACCTATATGCCATAATATATTTTACTATTACTCAGGCGACAGCTATTTTAAAATTAGAACGCACCGATTGGAACAAGACGGCCTACTAGTGAGACTTTTTTCTTTAACCTAACGAAACATAAAATTAAGCCTAGCGAAAGATGTACTGAGATTAGAAAATCCAATTTGACAATCATCGCATAAATCATCAGTCAATTATTATACAAAAACCGTGTGTATATAAAATACGAGCGAATCTGGCTAGTATCCATTGAGGCGTTGGTTTATATTATATTATACACTATTATTATTTATTGTTGTTATTACGCATAACCGGACAAGACTTTCGTAGAGCAACATACAACACGTACGACTCAAAATGCACACATGATTATATTTCAAGAAACAAATTCTGAGTAAAAAAAAAACCCAACTCAATATCAGTGGCGACTAATTGATTTCCGAATAAGTTGAATGAGAGAGAGGAGTCTTGGATTTTATCTCCTACAATAACATCATAGAAATACGTTTGGTTCCTGTAAAAAATTGTTCTGAGCAACGCAGAAACATTTGTATGTTGAAATGTACCAAACAATTAATTATTAAATAACACTGTATAACACGATTTAGGAACAAGAACCAAAATACAAAAAATGTATTAACTATATTCGCTGAAAATTTTCTACGATTCATTTACAAAGCCGTTTTCTATTCAATTTTTTTTTGCTGAATTCAAAACTAGTCTCAGGATTAATGGACAATTTTTTTTTGACAAAAGAAATTTCTAATTTTTTAAGTTATTTACAACTTTGGAGGCGATTAAAAAAACAAATAGACATGCTAGATATATTTTGGGACCAGACTCGGATTTAGCGAAAAAATCCTTCAAAATTAACAATTTTTTTGGTTCAGTTTAACTAAATTTATTGTAACTCTAACTCTTACAGACGCGGTTGATAAAAAAAACAATATCGTCTCACTTCTCAGGTTCGTATATAATTGATATACATCACACTTTTCGAACTCTCTCTTTCTTCTTTCTTTTATGCTGAACCAATCAATTATCGCAAATACAATAGAGAATTAAACTGTCATAATAAAAGCCTATTCGTGCATAAACCATAACACAATATAATACCACGTCTGATATTCACTTATCGGTTGGGATATAATTAATGCACTGTTATGTGATATCAACTAACCGACAAAAGCTATTAACAGTTTGGGCACACGTTGCATATGTTTTCCATATGAATACTTCATAGCTCTTTGCAGTAAAAAAAACCCCCGGGGTGAACAAAATACAAAGCGCTTTTTATGTGAAACCTAGTATACTTAAGTACAACGACTATTTTACATACTATTTCTATATTGTTTTGGACATTTAAAAAACACATAATTTACCAGAGGGGTAATAATATTATTACTAAATACTAAATTGTTTTGCCCACGACATGTTTGCAATTACAGATTTAATGTTGGATGTTTTTAAAAAATAAACAGAACGGAACGAATAATGTGGCAAAATGATGTAAAATCTAATATGACACTACTTTCATAACAGTTAGTCACATTGTTAAAAATAAATGCAGTTTTACATTACATTTGTTATACGATATGTTCGATACAAACTTTAATTATTTAACGACATTGGCTCGACCGTGTATGTTGCTCTGTGATGGTAAATTTTGTAATGCGATCCCATCCGCCGTCGGATATAGTTTTACGACTTAGGTAATCTAACTTGTAATTTTAAATTAACGACATTAGTATTACCCAGATTAATGATATCATTTTTAATGATAAGGTTTGTTAAAAAAAAACATAACGGTTTTACCGATATAGATTTAATGTGCTAATCAAATAATTACGAGGTTGACACTACTGGCATAATTATTATGCGATCATCACGGCTAACAAAAAATTAACCATAATAAAAACAATAATATAATTCGAGTAAAATACTAAAGTCGCGGGACGTGATTCAAAAACAAATGTTTAATAATTAAAATAACCTAAATAAATATTATGAGACTATAATATTATTATGTTCAGAAAGCAACTTGTTTAAATCATAATAATGCGACGGCGGTTTTATTATTATTCTTTGAGTATTGTTAAATAAATACAAACCGTATAGAGAATCTCACATGTGAGTAGGAGGAAGTGTAATTATGTAGAGTGCGACAACGAATACGAGTAATAAAAAAATTGAATTAAAAAAGTAATAACCATGTGCTTGAATCCAAAGAAAGTGATGAGAAAATTTAAGTGAACACTTGTTAACGGCGTTTTTTTTTTGTTTCCGTCAAACTTTGTTCACACCAATAGTTTTTTTTTCAATTAAAAGATTTATTTTTAATCATCACTCGATTTCAAACGGCCGACGAGTAATTTATAGTGTGCGTTATTATCGTGTGGTCCTAATACTTTTTTTATAAAATCTTTGACGTTTATCCACGATCATATTTTTAAAATATTGTTCGACTAAAAAAAAAAAAAGGTTAACGCACCCACATGTTGTAATTGTTTAGATTTAAGTTACTAACGACTGCTTACGTAGGTGTATCGCGTTCATTTTGTATATCCTGTACACGATAATGCGGGATGAGTAATCCATATAGGACAACCGTCGTCTTTTAGTCGGATTATAAACAACCCTCTTGGTTATTTATTTTTTCTTTGAAATACGAGAAGTCGAGGATATAACATTATCATCTAAAGAACGTGCGACACACTACACGCGCAGGAATATTGTGCAAAAGCAAAATATAAACGATAATCGACGAAGAATATATTATACTCAAACCGTAACTATTCGACAGGTCAGAAAATAAAGTTTGAGTCTGAAAATCGAAAGTGCAACCAGATCGTTTTGCTTGACAAAGAATTATGCAAATCGCCAACGCATACATTATGTTGCCACGACAAGATATTATGTATTATGTAGGTTTGTTATTTGTGCCATACCTTGACAATATTATCACGCTGGTTTCGACTGTACAAAGACACATTTTTAATAAGCAAATACAAACGGAATACGAGTAGGTTCGTGCAAACTTAAATGAAAACGAGTTTCCACAGTGTAACTGATCGGTGTAGGAGGTATTGGAAACAAAATAAAATTTAAAAAAAAAACAAATGCTTTGGAAGAAATGCATCTGCTGGACTCTGCCCACATGTCGACCGAGTTAAGATTAATTTATAATTTCGCAGATGGCATACACAATTATAACAACGAGCACATGGCAAACGAGTTTTAGCAATTTTTACTTAGGTATTATATGTTTATTTTTATTTTAAAAACTGTCCTCGTTTAAAACGTTCACCTGCCCCATTTGCAGATGGGGCGATAATTCCCAACTAGGTACCGTCAGGTGTCAGTGAAAAATGATGTTATTTTCTCTGCATAATTAATTTTAATAATAAAAAATGTCAACATTAAAAACAAAGAAATTACAAGTGATACACCAAATGATAAAACTGTTTAAAAACAAGTGGTAATTATTTACTATTGAATTTAAAAAAATAGCAATTGGCTATACTTTTACTATTCTACCCATTGCCATTAATTATATTTTAATCATTTTTATATTCAAAATGCTATAACTTAATTCAGTCAAGTTTTTTGAGCATGCATATAAATCCAATAAAATAAGTAGTAACTACATATATTAAGCCTACTGATCTCGAATACACTTTATGTATTACAGTGTAAAATGTAAATTAAAAAAAAAATCTTCTATTTAAAATTTTTTTTTTTAAATAGAACAAAAACTGTTATCAATGAGTAATATACAAATTATCAGAAATTAGTAAAAATATGTTTTGTTGGCAGTATGCCATCAATCATTTACATTTTTTACAGAGTAAATAACATATTATGAATAACATTCGTAAAAAGTTATTATGACAATTGAAATAAAACATAATTATGTGTGGTAAAATCATTGTTTGTATTAAAATAATTACTCTACTAACAATCATATTTTATTATTCATTTGATATCATTATACCATGATAGAAATCCATGTGCTTAAACGCATAAATTACTATTATTTTAAGTCTGCCCTAACGGCAGATTCAACGGTGTTAAAATTGGCCGCTACTATATGATTGGAAGTGACTTAAATGCTTGAAGTGCTAAATTCAAAATTGGCTGGGTACATTAAACAAAAAATATCATCAGAAATGTTTAAGGTTTGATGTCTGACACTTCTCAGGTTTTAATATTATAGGTGCCAAACTAATTATATAATAACAATTATCAAACAAGCCGGTAAAAACAGAAAATACACATTAAATAACTAATTTTTTCAACTTGTAGCTATGTGAAGCATAAACAGTATAGATTTAGAGGATTGGTGAACAGCGTACTAATTTTCTTAAGTGCAGTTGAACGTGGGGAATGATTGTAGGGTGATCGAACACTCTCGCACACCCCAGTCGGTTTAGCACCTGCAGTTATTTGTCTCATTGTTTTAATGACCCTATCCCTATGTTATTCACACTGCAGCTTACATCTAGTATAAAATATTATAAAATACTTACAGAGTGTATATTGAATACTAGCAAAAACAAAGACTGTAAGTCGCAACGCTCTGACAACTACGGGCAGTGTCCGATAAACCATTGTCAACTACTTTTTGACCGTTGAATATGCATCAAGTTCCGTATTGACTTGGCTAAACCGAATTGAATATAAAAATAAAAATAATAATAAACGGTAGATAAAAAAATTAAAATTGTATTTTGATTTAGCCCACTGAACAAAAAGAACCGAGGAAATATCTACACTCGCTTTGCATAAGAACTACATGCATGTTGATCGGTTGAATGCGATGGATTGAAACAACACTCGGTGTTGATGTATAAAAATGTATAACAATAATTTTCAAACGTTATCTCGCGCCGCCGACGGTGTACACAAACAAATACACCCAACACCAGATGGGTCGCGATAATTAACTAAGTAGTCCGTGTAAAAAAACCATCACGATTTTACCGTTGCCACTTCCTCCCGACGACGTCCGAGTCAGGACGGGACCCTATTATCTATCCCCCACTTATCAATAATCCGAGGCTACGGTAACAACAGCAGCTACACTTGGTCGATGCAGTGTTGCCACTCCGGGCAACCGCAAATATCCCATCCGCCCGCAGCCGCTGTTATCTAATCGGCCATTTGTATAAATACGATTGTGCGGAAAAGCAGAAATAATGACTAGCTTATTAAATTTATTTTCTTTGTGTGATCAATTAATCTGTGGAAAGCCGAAAGGATATGGCTGGCCCATTGGTATGCACATGGTTATGCGGAAAAGAAGAAAACTAATAAGTAATAACAAATAATATTTTATAAATTTTTTTTGTTATCTTAATATATTGATCGGATACACTCACCCTGAACATAGTATAACTTTAAATATAAAAAAAATAAACTACTAATAAAAAAATATGTCGATAGCAAGTAAGAAAAATCATATCCAATTCAATCATTATCATTTATTACGATAATAGTTTAAATTTAAAACAATGTTCCAATAATATTTACTGTGCTTATTCTTGTCGATTCAATTTTCCTTATTGTATCTCCCATGAATCAATTTTGGTTCGATAAAAAAACACTATAATTATAAAAATATATAATTGATAGATGAAAAACAGTTAATTGTTCAATGTTCAATGAAACTATAGTATTTCAAAGGCTGCAAATATAATAATTTATAAAACATACATATTTTATTGTACAACGTAACAATATAGTTGGTAAAATTATACAAATTTTTAAAACAGAGATTAATAATTCGGTTATTAATAACTATAAATCGTATGAAAAGCAACATTGTTATAACATACGCCATACAATTAATTAAAGTATGGACTATTTTTCAAACAAAGATTATTAGTTGGATATTCATACCTATTTTCAAACACAACATCCTGGGTTTTGTAAATTCGATTATTATAATAAATTCATCAGAAACCGTAAGCCGATAGGTACAAGTATACGCACAGTAAACACACACAGTTAAGCCTGACGCGGGAATACAATTTTCGGTTCTATTATACTGTTTGCCATTTGGCCTACATTTATTGCTTAGTTTTATAAATAAATATTTTCTCGCTCTTACCACAACTTTAATTAATTAAATTACATTTGAATAGGGACCTGGCTGGAAAAAAAAATATTATTTTAAAGAAAGTAAAACAAACAAATAAGTATTATACTAACAATATTATTTTGTTATTAATTTGATAACATTATATAAATAATACCATGATAGAAATCCATGTACTTAAACGTAAAAGTTAATAATATGTAATACAAAAAAAAAAAATAATAAACAATGATTAACAAAATTTTATTTTGATTTAGCCAACTGTACAAAAAGAACCTAGAAAGTATCTACACTTGCATCGGATACGAACTACATGCATTTTGAATGGTCGAAAATATTAAAAAATATATAACAATAATTTTCAAACATGGTCGTATATATGTAAGAAAACAACCAAGATTTTACCGTTACCACTTCCTCCCGATGACACGACGGCCTAGTTTTAGAACGGGACCCTAAGCTTATTACTTACTAAACAAAATCTATGGCAGCAAAATAAATATATTTTAATTATAATTTCATAAACGTTTTAAAATTATATATACATAAAACGAAAAAAAATATGTATTTTGGGTTTTATCGAAAAAAAAGGTCAAATTTTGTTATACAGTGACAGCAGTTTGCTTAAAATGTTAAAATTCAAAATTCGATTTCATTCATCGAGAAAATAGTTAAACTTTATTCAACCCCCCCCCCCCCAAACAGTATTTTAAAATAAAATAAAAAAAGATAATTGATAATTCTTTTTTTTCTGCTGGTACATGCAATGTATTAAAACAAATTTTTAAAAAAAAATGTATTTTTCTTTTGTATTTCACAAAAAACTAACGAAAAAAACGTTAACGTTCCATAAAACATTGAACATAACTGCAGTAGGTTCCTTCACGCTAAAACGAGTTTCTATGAACAGGTCCTTCCAATTACTGAAATAAATTAAGCCTTACTAAATTACACGGTATACGCAGCTCGCTGAATCGAAATTGATATAGTTCCCATGATTCGAAATCTGTATGAAAAACATTGTAAATAATTACTTCCTAAAAATCCCATGATACATATACATTATTATGTACAACTACGCACAATAATTATAAGTGGTACTATTTACGGGATATTAACTATAAGTTGATCAATCTAGACTATTTGGAATATAATAAAATTAAAAGTTCAAATATCTTAGTGTCCACTCTTTAAACCACTAATGGCACACATAAGTATTATTTAAATTAAAAAGAAAGAAAAAGACAAGCTTTTGTCGAAGTGTAAACATTACACTAAGCATTTGTTATTTAAAACCATAGTTTACTTAAGTAGGTATTATTACCTACTGTTAAAGAATAAAATTCATTAAAATACGAGAAAAAATGTTAATTTTCTATTGAAAAATTTTGCTAAATATACATTATCAGTTTTTATTAGGTAAATTTGTACATTTTATTAACAAATTTCATCTAGCTAAGTACTTTTATCACTTTTACGTGGCTTAAATACCGCAACAATATAGTTAGCTAAATAAATCTCTTTTTTTTTTGCATGATCACATTTTTAAATATTTATTCAGTAAACCTCGATTATATTTTAGAAGTTAAAAATATAAAAACATTTGTATGTGAATAATAATGTAAATCAAATTGTCAATAAAATCAACCACTATATTATAAATAACGGAAGTTTCAAGACTCGAAAAAATAATAAAAATCCGTAGCTAAAGCTTTTTGTATGCGAATAAATCTTTAATGTAGGTATACAATATAAATTCAAAATTAAATATTTGCATTAGCTGGGACATTCGTAAGTCGTATACAAATCGGTCTTACGAACCACTAAACATTTAATAAATAATGTCTGTCAACTTAATTTTCAAAAAAAAAAAAAACACCAGCAACAGTCAAACCAACTGATCTTTGAAATTAAATTTACATCACGTTGTCGTACATTGATTTTCGTGATATCCGCCCTTGGGTTGGATTTATTTATTCAGTTAGCAAGCAGTTATAAATGTCTTATTAGTATTTACAACACTATAGTTATTAATTGCTCGTTGCATATAACAATAGCACAGAGTTTTAATTATATTGCCATATAATATACCATCGCAAAACTATTATTGTGAAGGTCCCAGTGTATTTATACAGAAAATTCATTTTTAAACATTTAGGACGGAAGTTTATTATTTAAAATATTAATGATGAAATAATAACTATCAATACTTCTCACTTTATGTAAGAACCTGCATATTATACTATAATATTACGTTACTTATATTAAAAATTAACAGTTAAAAGATTGTATTCTTCTTAATATTAAAGATTGATCAATTGTTGAGTACAAATAACTGCTGTTAATATTATTATTTATAAATAATATTAATATTTATAAAATATAAAATACAACATAACTTGTAATAACAACAAAATATATTAAATGTACAAAAATTGCAATGTAATGAAAACTTCTAGAATAGAAGTGATTGACTATTGAGTATATAGTAATGAATAATGATACTGTAAGACATCGTGCAAATTTAAAAAATTGCCTTGTAGAATTATTTGAGTATTATTTAAAAAAAAATTATGTCGTTCAAAATTTGTCATAAGTACATTACACCTCACTAAAATTCTAGATAACGAATACATGTACAAAAGAAATTGTAACAAAATTATGCAGTAATTATTCTTGAAAATCAAATCATGTCAAATAGATAATTGCCTTATATTCATGATAATTGATTACATGATAATCTACATATTAATTTTTGCATGTGTTTGGCGAAACCATCCTTGTCATCTCAAACAAGAAATGGCAAATGCTTTTTTTAAATTATCAAATATAATTAGTTTACCACGTGTTATATGTATATGCACGCGCTTTACTTAAATTTATTGTGACTTCGTAGAAATTAAAACACACAATTTTAATAGAACTATATTGTGTAAAACTATTGGGTTTTTAGCGAACATATATACGTAATTCATTTAATAGAAATTAATTAAAATCGAATTCGAACCTGATATTCTCATTAAAATATATAGTTCGGAAAACATCAAACATTATGCAAATAATACCATTTTCTAGTAAAAAAAACCTATATAACTTATCTATCTATCTATCTATCTACATAGCCTTATCGATTTTATAATAATAGTTCAAAACAGCTATTAAATTATAATTTTTTACTACTTTAAATAAAGTCATTCAATAACTAATTAATGTCAATATTTAAATAGCATAATATGGTTTTGGATACATACCTATTACATCTTAAGTAACAAGTAAAATTTAAAAATTAAATAAATGTATATTTCGTACTCGAGGTTATGTTTTATTGGGAAACCAAATATAATAAATGAGTATGTAATTGTCGAGCCATCACAATTACCCAATAAAGACTATAAAAAATATATAAAAAATGTTAAAAACGACTAATTCTTTTGTTTTTTTAGAATATTAATTATAATTTTTTAACATCGTTTCTTAAAAAAAAACTAATACATTTGCACCTTGTGATACAGGTGAATTATTATAATGAGATGCCAAAAAATGATTAAAGTTAACATTTTGTCTTATGAATGAAAATTTTTAATATAAAATTATGAACCCATACACTAGTATTCAATATAATCACTCACTCACCCACTCAAGTTTTTCTCATCGACGTGACGCTTTTGTTGAAGTCTGTATTACTCATAGTATTACTTACAGTCATCATAATATCATATTGTAACCTAATCAGTTTTATTCAGCATCATATTATTTCATTATATCCGTGGTTTATCAACACAAGTTGATGTCACTTTTCCCTAGCATCCATAAAAATAAACCAAGCTTGATTTTATCAGTATTTAGTCAGTTTGGTGTATGAATGTATGTTAAGTTTGATAAACATTTTTTTTTTTATAGTTAAGAAATTATTATTTAAACTCTTACCCATAAAAAAAATTCACTGTATGAGTATACGTATTTCGGCAACAATGTTGTCTTCTTCAGCGCTAACGACAGACTTAGTCACTTTTTAAGGTGCTAAATATAGTTCTAAATATAGAAGTCTCTCTGTTTTATAAAAAGCAAAAATATCATAAACCGATTAGAACTTAACTAGTATTGGTTATTATTCTATAATAAAGCGTCATTGCTGTTAGCGCAAGGTAAGCGTGAGTTTATCTCTTAAATATACGAATTGTAGGACGAAGACGAACAATTTAATTAAATATTTTCAACGTACATATAAGTTTTTATTTTCGTAATAACAACAACACGTGTCTATAATAATATAATAATAATAATATTTATAATAATTTAAGATAGCAATAATTGTAGGATTCAAAAAACATTTTCATATCAACGTAACAAGTCATATTATATTTCATAGAGTAAGGAATATTAATTGTGATATACGTTTATAATATATATATATATATATATATATGTGTATATTTAATTTGACAAGGTAAAAGAGTTACAATTAAGATCAATTCGAAAAATGTATAATATATTGTAAAATAAATATTTTTGTTCGTATTTAATATTTATAGTATATAATATCTAATATTTATAGTATATAATAACTAATATTTATATTATATAATATCTAATATATACTTTAAATTATTAGTATATAGCGTTTTCTACAATTTTAAATTGACTAGAATGTCGTTTTGACTAAAATTAATATCCTACGCCATAGTCGATTAAGTAAACACCACTATCATTAAAATTATTGTTCAGTGTATTGTTTTATATAAATACAGTTAGGAATAATAAACTTATAATACCAATAATAATAATAATAATACAGTATATCAATTACTAAGCGTGTCAGTCACTAATAATTACCCAAGTATAATATATTAATATAATTGGGCTAAATAATAATATAATTTATCATTGGTTTCATTAGTTATTAACGAAATAATTTACAATATAGCAATGATAGACCGATAACCTCAGAAACAACAATCGTTACATCATTTAACTTATATTATATTTTATAACCAAGTTTTATTTTGTAATTGTAATTATTTAATTATGAGCTTTATAGCCTTACGCAAGACGTCCTATTATGTTTTATAACCACTTTCGTTAACTATATATATATATATATATATACACATATTAAGACAAAAAACAATCAAACGCTTAATATGGTTTTTATGACATGTATAATAACATAATAGGTCATACAAATTTTAAAAAAACATTATATCTGACAACACTGAGAAAGAGGACTTTATGAACAATTTCCGCAACAAGGTTAACTATGTTTTATAGTTTCAAAAATTGGGCTTTGAATGATCAAGTGTATTAATTTGTGTATTTTGTATCTATGTATTTAACATACATTATGGTTTTTAGATAATTTAATATTATACCTAATTTAAGATCAAAAGTTACCTTATAATTAAGTTTATTATTATAAATTAATATACAAAAATGAAATTACTTTAATATCTTACCGCGCTAATTATTGTCTCGCTTATTATTTAGTAAACATGTACTATAATTTAATATAATAATTGTAACGGTAGAGGTATTCAATAAAGTGCAACAATGGCAGCAATTCATTAATAAAGCTTATTTACCGTAGTTTAGCAAAAGATAGAAAATATTTTCTTTTATAATGTTATCAACAGGTTAAATTTATAAAAGAACGTTTTATAAAGTATATTTTACTTAGTAACAATTTGGTTTTAAAATTTACCTCGAAACAATAATATTTTATCTAATACGTTTTATTATTGGAAATTCTTAACTGAAAAATTAGTTTCCAATTATAAAAAAAATAATTTTAGGATATTGTTTCAACTAACTTATTAAATTATTAAGAACGAAAAAATAATGTAGCGTTAATTGTTCAATTTTAATATTGATTTGCACTAACCCGTCACAATTGATTTGAGCGAATTATAAAGCATGAAACTAGAAAAAAAAAATTACAGAATTAACAAGACGATAGCTATGGTTAAATAAAGTTAGACAAAATTTGTTGACAAAAATTGTAGCTAATTTTGGTTTTATCATTATTAATTTTTATGTACTAACATTGATGACAAACCTCGATTCGTTTGGTTTAAAGTAGTGTCGGAAATATCAACTGTTCAAGTGCGTGTACTAAGTAATGTATAATATAATGCTATTAAATTTCAATATTTGTTTATAATATTATTACTTAATATACAAATAATCACAGGTTGCTGAACTGTCGGGCACGACAGGAGAATAACGTTAGTTTGAACAAAACATAATAAACAAACTCATAAAAAATTAAAAAACAGTTATAAATAATAATAAAATTATGTAACTATGATTTTATTATAAATGTTTTATGGGAATTCTAACTTTGGTACATATTAGTAATCGGTTAAGCAACTAGGCGGATTCATTGTGCCGTTCAGTTCATAAAAGCTGGCAATCGCAATGAAAATCAAATACCATAACATGAGCACTGCTCCGAATTTCCTGTCCAACTTCCATCCGTTCATGTGAGTGGCCACCAACAAGAACACTACGGTCGACAAAAGTGTGAGGGTACAATACGTCAAACCTAGAGAAAAATATGCCAAAAGTAAATGATAAATTATGATAATATTGTAACAAAAAAAAAAGTCTGAAATCATTTTAAAATAGTTATAATATTGTAAGTTAACTTGTTAAAAAAAACACAATTTTGAATATGGCCAAAAACTATTTTTTCAGTTTCATAGATTAAAATGTTTAAATATTTTTCAGTTTCGGATTTAAACAAAATAGTTCAGGGAATTTTTTTTTTTAAGGTTTCCGGCTAATGTGTAATCTTTTTCAAATATTCTATGCTTTTGTTACTTTTGCAGACGTCCATTACTACGACTTAACATAATGTAGCGGATAACAATAAAGTATTTTCGTCGTACTTGGAGTTTTATAGAAATTATATAGATAAGTATCAAGTAGACTATGATTTACCATGAATTCAATTTCGCAAAACCACACGAAACAATTCTCATGAATAATTGAATTATTCTGTATAGAATTTTGAAGATCGATTGATTTCATTATCAGTGGTTTAATTAAAATTGGAAGAGGGAGGTGGATGGGCAAAGCATCTATGAGTTATCTGGAGCTCTCTCGAAATTTAAAAAATAAAACCCGCAGAGGCATTCCCTTTTACAAGGGGAACAATTCAATTGCAATTTGCGAGTTCCTATAGCAAGAAATTAGTTTTGCCATCGGATTTAGCTAAACAGATCTTAGTAAAAAGTAGACCCCGTCCTTACCTTTGCTGTATACTTTTACGGTGCTGCCCGGATTAAACACTGCAGTTTGCAAAAACCACGGTAGTCCCAAACATACTAATATGTCAAAAACGTTGCTGCCCACTGCATTCGAAACAGCCATGTCACCATATCCTAAAAAAAAACACAAAACGATTTTGCTTTTAGGGTAATAGGTATGAGTCCAACACTATAGTTAAACGTTAACAGTGGCTATAGTGAACTATAGTGAGAATTTGAGGATTTAACCCCTCCCCTTGATAACCATTTTTGGAAATTATTTATGAAGTTATTGAAGTTTCTAGTTTTGGGCTGGTGGAAAGGTGAATGTAGTATTACTTTTATTTTCACGCACTTCCCAATCGCATTCCCCCCCCCTCCGTCCTAACTTTTAAACTCTTATAAACTTTAAAAATAATTACCCAAATCTGGTTATCAACCAGTCAAAATTGTTACTAAAATATTCCTAATTTATAAAGTTAAAGTTGCTATGAAAAAAACTAGTTTGGGTGGGGGTAGAAACATAATAATTTGTGGAAAATTGAGATCGCATCATATAAAAACACTATGAATAGAGAAAATTCAATTATTAATTAAACCTAGTGAGATAATGAGTTGTCCGTGATAAAAGAATCACCCCATATATATTTATTTTATAAGTACACACAAATTTATATATTGGCGAACTCCCTCCTTGACCACTTTTTGGCTACGCCACAGAACGCATCCATAATGTAGATCAGCGCAAGTAAGTTATGCGTAATTAATTTTACTAATAGATGAATTTTTTTCCTATTGACGGTAGTTATTGAATTGGTATTTAGATATTATGTTAAGCCGGGTAAGTGTACGGTTTACGTGAAAGCTAGGTTTAGTGATAAAATACAAAGACCGTTCAATCCTGGTATTGTTCACCAAAGGGTTTAGAGTCGTTTAGATATCATTCACAAGTGGTATTTTCTCCGAATAATTACGTCATAATATCTTCACTACTTCTTGAAACCTCGACCTTTTTGAACAATGCGCGAATCCACGAAATAGAGTGGAATATGTATTACTAGCCCTTTTTCTCTCTGTGCGAACTTTATTTTATAAATACATCAACAAGTGGCTTCAAACTAAATTTTTATTTTGTTTTATTAGAAAAAAATGAGTAAGGTCAAGTGGGGATTTTTTTTAACAAATCGGGCAGCAAATGTAAAATCATTTTATTTTTTTACAGACAAAAATCAACAGTTTTTTTAATTTAATTTCACGATGCATTAAGAGGACTCAAACACCCCTTTTTTAGGAGTTAGGTATAGGCAATTTTTAGCAAAATCTTAATTTACAGGTAAACTATGATGTATAATTAGTTCAATAATTAGGATGATTTTTTTTTTTAGTTAGTTTATTTTTCGGACTATCACGGCATCCTTGACAGCAATTTAAAAAAAAAATGACATCTTAACATAGCTAGGTACGCATATTTTTTATTATTATTTATTGACTAAATAATATCTATCGTAGACATTTTTATTTTACATATTTAATAAACCGAGAACTTTATTTAAGGTCTCTCATCGTTTTTTTTATATTATTAACCCATCATTCGCAATTTATATTTGAATTCTGACATTTTTCACTTTTATAATATGTGCTTGTATTTAAGGTAAAATTTAAGTTTTCTAAAAAACCGACGAGAGCACCTAGTTAAGAGTTTTTTCCATGACCATTTCGTTTTTACTTACACGCTTTTTCGTAAACACGTTTTTACGATCGTTTTTAAAGGGTATGTCATATCCTCTTAACATCTTACGGTTTAATTTTTTTCATGTAATAATAAAAAAAATGTGTTGTTTTTATAAAAAAAATACGATACATTTGTCCTTTTGTTTATAATAAGTAATTACCCACCTGACCCTATTATGGTTTTATTTACGCTTATTTCAAAATGAGTTAGAGAACGGGCTTGCCTATAAACAATTATTATTGTTAAAACACCCGCTACATTAGTCCTCTATAGTGTTTGTAGTACATTTTAATAATACAATATATCACTATATAATACTTATTGTGAATCACATAACATTATATTACCTTCTTTTACGACGGCGAGACTTGACAACGCATCCGGCACGCTCACTCCGGCTGCGACAAATGTAAGACCCATGACTGTATCAGGAATTCCAAGCGTATTGCCTGTGCACACAAAATGAATTTGCTTTAGTTTGATTTTGTAATGATAAACAATAAAAACAAATGTATTTTTACTGACCTATAACTGTGATCATCCAAACCATTATATACGAATACACTGATATCCAAAGCATTGATATGACAAACGTGAGACCGTACCAACTCTTGAATTGTTCTTTGCGACAATCTGGCATCGTGTAGTGACATGTGTAGTATATAGGAAACATTATGGCCCATTGGATTTGATCGAGGATGGTTCCGTTTTCCGGTTTTACCAGTGGATCAGTCTAATTATTTTAAGTAAAAACAATTCTCGTTATTTTTTTAATTTGGTACAGTATAGCGAGTGTATAAAATATATTTGATACATTATGTCATAAAGTCATACCCGCCCGTTTAACTTTATAAACAAATTTTTTACAATCGTTTTATGAAAATAAAGCAGATGGATATATATTTTTTAAAGAAAAAATCAAAACGTTTGAATTTTAATTATGTGATGTTAGCGTGTTACAAAGTTTAATAAAAATAAAAGTTATTAATTATTTCTATGAATAAATGCATTTATAATTTCTATTATTCTTTATTGGCTATAAAATGGAATCTTCTCTTGAAAACGTTTCCTATTTAAACATTTTTTTAAACCGCCTGCGTCGAAACTAAATTTATTAGCAAAAGGTTTATATCCAACACAAACAGCGTCTAGATTAATATTATTTATAAAAATGTTCAACAAAATGTAGTTATTACTAGAACTTTTTCAGCTTTTTTGTGTTAGTATGATGAGAAATTAAATCTTAAAATGAATTACAATACTTCTGAAGTATAAACAACGAAATGTTGCAGTTATGTTGTATAAATATATCGATAATTAATACTATTTATATCACTATTGAACATTTTCAAATTGTTTTTATTATGATTTACATGTGTTTTTTTTTAGGATTTCATAAATGTAATAAGTGCATGTAACGCATGCACACACATAATATAAACATGCATAGACGATTTAAATAATAACTTGATTCACCTCGGCACCCTCTTGATATTCTTTGGGAATGTAATAGTCGGGATTCTGTTGCCTGGTTTTCGGTACTTGGTTCGATTCCTGTTGGTCCACGCCTGTCGAGTCGTATCCTGTGGGACTTTTGGTACCCGTCAATTGGATTTGCTCTTGAATTTTTTGTCCGTCTTCTCCTATTTGTTTTTCCGCGAACAAATCGTTGATCTACACCAAACGGTTCCCTCATTATATTTTGTTGTGTAATGTTTAACTTTTCTACAATTGTAGGCTAAGATGATGACTTACCTGACCATGATTTCTGGGCGGGAACGGTAAATTCCAAGTGTTAGCCCAGGCTTCCAAATACAAATTGTAATATAGAGCCACACAGTACACCACGTAAGCCAGCAACAACAGAGAACTCTCCACCCTACAAACGACCAATGAATCGATTAACTAATTAAACATGTTCTACTCGTTTTTGTTACTAATATTCTATCACGTTCAATTACCATGATATCGTTTCGTTGTAGATGGCGAACAACATGATGAGTATGCTGATGGTATAGAAAAAAGAGTCTCTGCATAGCGGCCACCAGTTGAGATAAGTGACGGTGGACGAGGCCAGACCACAAACAGCTATGACGAACATTATGTTGAATACGGCAGACCCGATGACACCACTAACGCCGATATCGTCTTTGGCTAGGAAAACGCCTATTATTACCGTAGCCAATTCTGGCGCAGAACTTCCGGCCGCCATGAATGTCGCACCCGCCACATCAGGACTTACTCTTAGTTCTTAAACAAAAATTGTACATATATATATATATATTTATATTGCTATAGCGGAAACGGGACATTATACAAGTGCAAGTTAGCATTATTTGGCGCGGTATTTTTCCAAAATGTATACATAAATCTGTATGAATCGAACGTGCTCGAATATAGGAAAGGACTTTATTCAGTCAACCGAAAATAGTTTGCGTACACTGCGCCTGGATTAACAACCACTGGCAACAAACACAATTATATTCTGACGACCCATTTTAAACCCCAAGGGTTACCGTCGGCCGTTAAAGGTCGTACCGCTATGTGGGCATGTGAAACGACGGAACACTGATAGGTCTATGACCTGAAACGCGTGCTGAAAAAACCGGAACTGCTCTGATGATTTACGAACTAATGAATAAAACCCATCGAAGGCGTAACACTGTCTATATTTTGGCCAATCTATAATAACCGTGTAAAAACCATTATAAACCATATAAAAACGTGTTGGGCAAATTTTCATACCAATAACTATACGAATAATATACTTTAGTTAAGATAAAAATTGTACTTCTACAATGCCCAAGTCTAGTAATCATCAGTATAATATGTTTTACTTATACTATAAGTACTACATTTTTCTAACGTTAATGTTCAGTATGTAACATGCGTGTAGCGGAATTGCCTATACAGGTCGCCGCCCGAAAACGCGGCGAACTAATTTGCACTTGACTACTCTTAGGTATTCATAATTTTTGTTTTCTTGGATTACAATGTTATTTCTCTCAAATGTCAGTACAGCTTAATATATATTACCTTCGCAGATCCTGTCCAACGATTTGACGAAGTAATGATCGCAAACAATCGCTAAACCTAAGAAGCTATAGATGCACACAATGATGTGAAGTAGAACGCCTCCTCGTCGTCTAACGTGAGGTCTCATAAACGGTCGTGGAAACTGTTTGATCGCAGGTGGTGTGCATTTTTCAGTAGTCTCTGGGATAGTGGTATTGGCAGTTGTCGTATCAATCAGCTGGGTCGATCCCACCTAAAAAGGTAAAAATAATATAAATAAATTATCAATTACACTTCATTCGTTTATTATTTATTAGAATATAATATTTTACATTAAAAAAAAATAGCTGTCAAGTCAGCTTAGTATTGAATATTTTGTACATGTAAATAAACAGAATATTATATTTTATTTCAGTCGTTAATAATGACACCATATAAAACTTATGACTAGTTTGGGGGCAATTAACTGAATCGGCATTACGCTGTGTATTGTTTAACAATAAACAACATATTATATACAAATCCATTATAGTTCAGTAGAATTATTAGCTTAATAAAAAGAGTGCATGAAAATATTTAAGCGTTTTTAAAAATAAAAGGATAATTTAAAACTTAAGATTTAATTACTTTTTCAATTAAAGTTTTTGTATATTTAAATACCAAGCATTTTTATATACTCATCAATCCTTAAGAGAATTGACATTTTCAAACATTGCTATTGTGTAATGTAAATTATTTTATCAATGGAAATTTCACTTTTTGAATTTTGTTCAGAAAATATTATGGCTTTTAGAATAAAATGTATACTCATAAAAAATGTATTTATTATTCGCATACATTTTTGGTGGAATGTTTTTAATTCCAATCGAACACATTAGCTCAAGGTATAAAATTACCTACTATAAATATAATATTATAACATAATAAAACTTTTATGATATCTTGCTTGTGGATGTATTTTCAGAAAGTTATGAAACTTATTATAAACTAAAAATGATTATAGGTAGGTATGATTTTTAATGTATGACCTATACATTTTGTATAGTAATGGCACGTTAAAATGTTATAACGCTATAAAATTAAATTATCGTTATGATGCAATTAGCAATTAGCAATTTTATTTTTATGTTTTATCGACGTCATACACTGACGTGTCAATTGAACATAGTGGGTAGTTGTCAGTTGATAATAGTTAATACTTTAACCAAATATAAAAATACTCTTTTAACTTGTAAAATATTTTACTTTGGTGCCCCCGTACACCAAAAAATTATACTTTGAAGTATATTTTTTAATCTCTAAGGTTAAAAAATATCTCCAAAATTGCACAGTTCTATGGTCTACAGTATATTATTTCCCAAACATTTTACAAGCAGATTTTTATAGGATAAATTACCGGAGTAGTATATTGTGATGTCGAGATATCTTTTTTTGACGTTGTGGTTGCTTGCAGGTCATCGGGTGCAGGACTATCTGAATACTGGGGAAGTGGCGATGACGACCATTGTGTTTCTTGGGACAACGGAACGGTACTGTCACTAGGTCCTGTGCTCATAGTGCAGTCTATGATAGCGGTAAGTCCAGCATACAGCAACAGAAACCCTCCCCATAGTAGAATTGAACATGATCTGCTGGGCCTCCTTTGTCTAATCATAGGACGAAAAATAAGTGTGCTCTGAAATCAATAAAAACATAATAAAATGTTTTATTATTCTTTTTCAAATAATTTACAAAGTCTTACACTAATCAGAGTTAAGTAAAAATATAATTAAGGTAATAAATAATGACCTGATTTACGGAACATGTATTTAGCAACTACTAAAAAAGACAAAGTATTAATGTATTGAATTTTGTATTCAAACCTAAATTCAAAGTTTTACTTCTTTGATGTTTTTAAAATTACGCATTGTAAAAGAAAATAGAAAAATCGTAATTTATGAGAAGCCTTTAAAATACAAGAATTTACCTGTTTGAATAGGTTTAACTTCAAAGGATTCGTCTTAACGTTTATTTCTTACAAAACACTTATGACCTTTGTTGTAGAGGCTTTATTTATAATAATTTAAACATTTCTTGCAAAGAACGGTTTTGCTATAATTATTATTTTATAATTAAAAAAACAATCGACCAAATAAATGGTTACGTCATTAGCGCACTTTTATCCTAAGTCATAAAAGATTGCAATTTATACTAAATGTATTTTCTATTTAATACTACTGACCTATTCAGACTTGCAAAACCAAAATAACAAAACAAAAAAGTGTTACACAACTTTTTACAAGTGAACATAACGTAAATTGCTTAGGCGGTTTGAACCCACGGGAAAACTCAACAGAATTAACAAAAGTACTTTATCGAATTATCTTGTAAACTCATTAGAACACCCAGGAAACTTTTAGGGGGCGTGGGACAATTTGTTAAATGATTGTAATTAGTGAACCAATAATTAGTGAAACCCGTATTACTTGATTAAATAACCATTTCAATTATAATAGAACAATTTTACACCTCTAGCCAATCTCTTCGAACCGAAATAACGGTTTATTTCTCAAACGGTATACTTAGATTTAGAAATATTTTCGTTATCATATCAGTAACAGTTATAGCCTATCACACAGAGAGTCATAACTCACATAAATGAAAAAAAAAATTGAATATGAATAGTTGTAAGTCAATCAAATTTTGTTTTAAAAATTGTGTCGGTATACATTCTTTAGATCCTCCAATAGTAATTTAACGAATAATGTTGTTCTATTATATTGACTATCAATCTTACGCACAGAATTAAATTAATATCAATGATAACGTATTATGCTATCATAAAGAAAATAAATCATTATATTATAACTAGGACAAATAACAGATTTTAAAGCAAGTTATGTTCGTCAAGAGATATGAATCCGCATGTATAATGTTTATTTCTATTGCTTTATTAAAATAACGAGATGAATATGATTAAACACTATAATAGGTACTTGACTGTATAGTTTTATTGTACATAGCATTTTATTATTTATTTCTTCCATCGATTTAAAGCTCTCTAACAAAACTCGTAGTCGTTTGACATTCTTTAGCTGTTCGACAGGGTGAGGAAACATACTAATAGTACGGTTTGCTGCAGCGCGCTTGACATTTTACAAGCCCAAAGAATGCCCATTCGCCGAACTGGCATAAAAAATAACAAGGGGTTTATAGGAATCACGTATAACCCTCGTGGTATTCAGCATTCCGACAATTTTATTGACATAATACGATTTGCAAGGGTTGAGACGTTGTATGGGAATTTAACGAAACAAGTTAATCGACAAGCCATTTGCCTTTGTTAATAAGCTGCATTACAATACGAACACAACACAATATCGATCTCTATAAGAAATTTTAAATATTTTATAAAATTATACGGCAATCAACAACCGCACAGGAACGATACCATTTGTTTACCGAATACATTTGAAATGCAGCAGTTTCTTATAATTTTTAAATGAATATTTTAATAGTAATATTTTTAAATCGTTCGCGTTAATTATATTTTATAAAATGAATAATAAATAATACGTATAAATTAGAATTATTAAATAAGATGAATATTAAAATTGTGACGGACGCGGTACGGAGTGAGTGAGGTCGAGGACTAAGGTTGTTGATCTCATTTGGGAGAAGAGGCGAGTGAGAAAATTAAACGACAGTGTTTTCGAATAATTAAATTATTAATGGAAACGGTCGGCTACATAAAAGTGGTCCGTCCTCGGTTCATTTCGGTTGTATAATACCTATTTTATTATATTATTCTGTTAAGTTTTTGTAAGCCAACCCGAATACGATTGAAAATTAAGCCGCGACAAGGGTTTTATTAACGGCCATGTATATAGACACAAGTATATATATATTTATATATATGTATACATACGCCTCCGAAAGTTCTTATCGATTCCAACTGTATTCGCTACTGTCTATATGTGTCTACTGTCTCGCTCGACTTTGCTCCATCTCTCTCTCTTTCTCTCTCTCCCTCTGTATATATATATGAGAGAAACTCTGTTTATGTATATAATATATATATATATAAATCTACCGGGTGATTATTTTAATGCCCTACACTAGTTAACTCTTAAAATAATTGCAATTTTGTAGTGTTTCTTTTTTAAAATATTAGTGAGACAATATTTATTTATTTTTTATTTTTTAGTATTTTCTCGAGCTTTATCAACTTTTTTAATTTAAATGGTAACGTTTATATACTTTTAAGTTTTTAAATAAACAATAATTTGCTGAAAATGTTGACTGGTCGATAACCATTTTTGAATAGTTTTAAAGTTATTAGAGTTTAAAATTTAGGATGGGAGAAAGGGTGGAGAGTAGAGTTATTTTTATATGCGCACATTTCTCAGCCGCACTCCACTCCAATTCTTAATTTTAAAATCTAACTAAACAGTAATAATCACCCAATAGTGTCATTGCGTACACACAGTACACAAGGCGTTTTTACTTAACTTTAAAAAAAAAAAAAAACGAGACCCATCAGCGCGATACTGACGACCAGACAGTGGTTTATTATGCGGTCCAATATTGGGCGAAAAAAAGCCAATATCGACGGTAAAATTAAGCGTGGCGATATTATCGTTAATTCAGATCTAAAACACTGCCGAGGTCGACCCACCCCTATTGTCCGATTCGCGTGGCCACCGCCCGTATTGTTTTTGCCGGATAATCATTATAGCAACCAACCGTATACTATAAACCCATACTCGTATAATAGGTTTACTATTATATTATAATATTAGCGGTACTACATCATTAACAATATTATTATGTAATTACTAATTAATATCGCGTTATTAAAATCGTCGACTGTACAACGTGACGACGGCACAACAGCTGCTGTGGCGGAAAGTTCAGGAAGTCGGACGGGCGAGATGAAGGAGAGGTCACAGCTAACACACACGCTGGTTTTTGGCCGAAAAGCGCACATAATCCCAGAGGAATTATAATTGTACAGACTCCGTTGGCGGGTAGGTCGAGGTAAAAAACCCGAAAGAGAAATCCGAGAGGCTTATTACCGTGTTTGTCTTCGTTAATGAGAGAGACTATATTATTATTATGCACTGCCGGTAATTTCGTGCGCGAAATAAGCTCCTTTCATTTACCGTCATCCGGCCCGTAATAGGGTCCGACACCTGTCAGCGACGGCAACGGAGAAGACGGTGTGCAAACCAATTAAAGCGTTCATACAACCAACAACAACAACGGCAAAAAACTACCCTGCCGGAGACGTTTATCGGTCCACGCCGAGAGCCCTCGACGATCATAAGAGATTTCGTACAATCGACGGTATTTATGAATAACAAAAAAAAAAAAACTTAAGCTATCGATCGATAGTATTATTATATTGCTTATTTATTTGTTTTTACCTTTTTGACTTGCGTCCGAAAATGTCTATGCGGCTGCGACTGTCGCGGCTTTTCGGGTGACGCCGGTTATCTCGGACGACGAGTAGCGGTACAATAAGACGGTTATTATTTTATTTTAATTTTTTTTACCAAATTTTTGTATTTTTTTTTTTTTTACTCAATTAAAGAGGATCGCACGCGAACAGGCCGGGAGAGAGGGATACGAGCACCGTTGGTCGACTGCGTTTAGTGTGCGATGCGCGCGAGTACACGGTCTCGGCCAAGGCGCAAACTCGCCTCACGCCAAATACCACCGAGTGTTCCGCACCGTGTAAAATACATATAACAGAATAAGTATCGATATTCCACCGCCGCCGCCGCCACCGCCACCGACTTCACCGCACCTCCCCCCGTTGCGTTTTGCAATTTTTGTTCTCATTTTGACTCGTCCACGCCAGATTCGGCGTTTGCGGTTAGCGGTACAGCGTAACGCGTATTAAAATATACACGGGCGTTGGTCACCCATCCGAGAACAACGCGTCCGACTTGTGAAATGACGACAACCGAAAAGATACTAGACACTAGTCGTATTGATTGTGAACGTTAATTTGAAAACCTCTTAATACAAATACACACGCAAAACTACGTATTATTAACAAATATTGTAAAATCGAAAACTGGTTCACGTCACTTTAAGTTCGCGCCAATTTCAACACCGGCTTAGCTGCTATATTGGAACTGATCGGTGGCAAGCGTTTGGTCATAATAACAATTGACTCGAGCCGGGAGTATAAAAATATAAATAAACGGAGACAACAAATTAATAATGTGCCCACCAAACGACTCTTTAAATACCCGTATAATTATTGATATTATAGTATACCTATTCTACCTCTTGACTTAATCGCGTCGGGAGTTAAGTCGACCGAGCACAACGCACAAGCACGAGCGCACCAGCTGTATGTAGTTTATACGGAAAATTCCCTGGTGTAAATTTAGTCCACACAATAATAATTACATTACTATGTTACAGCAGGTAGCTGTGCGCTTATTAGATATTATTAGGTCAACGCGTACTCGGAGATTATTTACAAAATAAATTCAAGGTCGATAACAAAAAAAAAATAACCATTTATAGACCACAGAAATAACCAGAAGGGAAACCTAAGCCGGGACAGATAAGTGTCAGACATGATGTTTTTGCAGATTAAGTACAATTATCACCATTTTTCCTAGACTTATCTTATAGGCAATTTATTATATTAGCTGGCTCCAGCCGCAAAAACAATATGGCAGTTGCCTTTTTTCGACGGTTCATATGAACCCATTTAATTTTTTTTAAAGTTTCTCTTCTGGTTATTCTGTGTTTAGACCAACGATAATAGAGAATTGAAATTGAAATAATACTAATCGCCAATCGGGTTGAAAGCGTCAACCGTAAATTATAGACAACCTAAAGCTGGCGTTTACTTTCTGATCTACGCCGATTGCGATGGGTTAGTTCGGCAGATAACGAGTAAAGGGAAATAATTACCTATCATATAGAATTACACTAAATATAGATATATTAATTAATTTAAATTAATTATAATTTTACGACCAACAAAAAAATTCAAGTCACTGGATTCCAGAATCTCAACAGAGAACACTTTACAGGTTTTGTAAGACAATATCATGGAAATAAATATTATAATATTGAACTGTATAAATATACATAAAACACCAAGAGCGGAGTAACAACAAAATTCAGGCCAATATAATTCACCTAGGTCAATTATTACAAATATTTGGCTATCTAAATCTCCAGTGAAAATTTTTCTCACTAGTTCGAAAATAATTAAATAAGTATTTTATCAACATTTAAAGGATTCTTTGCTGCGTTTTACAATATTTTTAGATTTTCTAATAAAAGGTAGAAATAATATACATTTTTTTTTACAATTTCTAACTAGCCTACTAATTACGTTTTTTATTGTTTTATACGCATTCAGTGTATTCTAGCTTTTGCCAGGAAATACGGGTTTCATTGAGTTTATTACCAAAAAAATTAACAAAAATCTCAAAATAAATTTTAGGCAAATAAAATAATGTCTTTATATAAAAATAGTCTTTATTACAGAAGAAGTACATGTTTAGTATTTACCTACCTATTAAATATAAGAGTACTAATCACAAACGACTAACAAGTAATTCCAAATTATCTTTATACTCCAATTTCTAGAATACAAACAATACTAATAATATTTTACCTAATTTACCTATTAATCATTTCAATTTTCTCTTGATAGCGATAAAAATAAATCCATTTGTTTATTTATAAAGATTTATACAATGTGGTTAGACAAAACATTGTTACAGAAACGTTAAAAAAGTTTTAGAAATTCAAACAAATATATTTATATGTACCTCATATAAAATAATTTTCAATTTATATATGTGTCATCCAAATTTGTTTAAAATATGTTAATATTATGTCCTCTTGTACTCTTAGTCTTCCCTTTGTATACTTTTTAAAAGTATAATTGTTGTATTCAAAGTCTTGTTGTGTACAATGTATTTAATATTTTTTAATATTTTGCTATACAACTAGTACATAATAGAGGTTATAGTACTGAATTTTACTTGATGTATTACACTAGTTTTTTTTTTCGTAGAACTAATAAATATTTTCATGGATAATCGAATCGTTGAAAATAACAGTAAAGTGAATTATATATTATTTTTTCTGTGTTAGAATCGGTGAAACCATGCGTGTTAGGTTTATTATAATAAAATAAATAATATATGTAACTGATATTGCATTGTAATACATTTTGATTAGTGAATGGATATTTGTTTAAAATTGTAGATTACCTACACAGTCTATGCGATTATTCCAATGACTTAATTGGTTATAATTTAATAAGTACTATCAACTCAAAATAATTTTTAGGACTTCCATAAATTCAATGATATATATATATATATATATATAATATTAATAACTATGATTTTGTATTTATATTATGATATTCAGTATATCATTATACTATAATTATATTACATACATAGTATTATGGTATTATTTTAATTTTTACTATTTAAAATTACAATATCTATTATCCATAGCGCATATTATTATTGTTATTCCGTTGAGTACTTTGTACTGCGTCTCTTCCATGAGATTTGATGTCCTTATCAATCTATGTCTTATCACCGTTAGCCAATGAAGGTGTTATCTGTAATCAAAACAAAACAAAAACACGTGAAAATAGAAGTGAGCAGTCGTTTGAAGTATAAGCTGCGAATAGGCAATGATTTCCAGCTTGAAGTCATTAGTTTTGAATTAAAACATTTGATTGTTATTTTCTATTTTGAATACGATAATAATTCAGTATGAAAGTGAAAAAGAATAAAGAGAAAGAACTTAATCCTTTCGAACTACACATAAACAATAAAAAGTTCAATGTTCTTGGTCGTAAGTCAAAAAATGAAGTGGGCAAGCCTGGTATTGCCAGATCAAAAGCTATTCAGAAGGTATGTGATACAGTTATTAATAAATGTATTCAATTTAGTTATAAATTATAATTTTGACTTTCAGAGAAAAAAATCATTGCTCATTGAGTATCAGCTTAAAGGAAAATCGAATAAATTTGTCGATCGTAGAATAGGCGAAAAGAATCGTGCGATGACAGCTGAAGACCGTGTAATTGCAAGATTTACTGCTAATAGAGTTAAAGCGCAGAAGGTATGATGTTTTTATGCTACTCTAGTCTTCTTGCATTTGTTAATTGAATTTTTGTTTCCACAGAAAATGAAATATAATTTGGGAGAAGAAGATGACCTCACTCATCATGGACAATCACTTTCTAGCATTGAAAAATTTGAAAAACCAATAAGTGACGATGATGACGATTCCGACGATGATCGTACTGGAGGAAAACTAGGAGGTATATACATCTACTTTGAGAGTATTATTCTTAAATTACAATTGTATTTCAAATTTGTCAGTGTTGTGGAATTTTACGTCATATTGTTTACAATGCTCGAATTTATCACTTTGCCATAACATAATATTTAAAACAATATTTTATAAACTAAAGTGTTATAGGTATTTAGGTAATTTCACCACTAACAAATCATACTCATTTGTTAACTATTGTTTTTCAGCTGATTTTGTCGATAAAGCTCATTTTGGTGGAGGCGTTTTGAGTAGAGCTGGTGATGGAGAATCTAGTCATCGTGATTTAATTGACAAACTGATAGCTGAATCAAAATTACGCAAGTATGAAAAGAAACAACTTAAACAAGAAACTAATGAGCTAACTGAACAGTTGGATAACGACTGGAAAGAATTAATGCCAGTTGTTCCTACTAAAAATCGTGGAGAACAAGATCCAGAAGACGAACCTCCTGCAAAGAAAAAAGTTGATAAAAACTCTTATGATGTCCTTATGCGATCATTAAAGTTTGATGCCAGAGGAACGGTAAACAAAAATTACTTTATTATTCAAAATATTACAAATATTATAAAAGTATTACTTTTCATTTTCCTTAAGCTTCATCTATACTAGCGAGCCAAGCCCCGAACTGCAATACAAATATTTTACAACTATATGTTGCAGCAAAATTTTCAAAAAGGTTTATCAAAATACTGACATTTAATGCATTGCCATATAACATTTAGCTATAACACATCTTGTGTGTTGTTGCAGTTATTGGTTCAGCTTGCTAGTGTAGATGAGGCTATACAAAAAAACAGTATGTTTTTGTCGTACGACGTAGTACAATTATGTAGTATGACGTATTACGTAGTACAAGTATGTAGTTTAAATTTTGCTGTTTAAAAGTAGTATGTTTTGCCTTCTAAACTTAAATATTACTTTTCGCAATAAACCGTGAAAGATGCTAGTTTTGGTAGCAAACAAAATTACTGAATGGGTAACTTGGGATTTTAGTGGCACTTGTCCTTTATCACACGTTTCATTCTTACCCGACATACACAAACATACTAGAAAATAAGGATTTTGATATTAATTAACCACTTTTTACATTTATTTTAGGCTAGTGATAAATTGAAATCTGAAGAAGTGATCGCTAAAGAAGAAAAAGAACGATTAGAAAAATTAGAGGCTGATCGGTTAAAGAGAATGAAAGGTATTGATGAGAACGAAGTTGCTAAACACAAGAGTGCGGACGATTTAGATGATGGGTAAGCAATAAAAAATAAAGTGCATTTATTATTTATTCTTTGTTTTAACCAGTTTAATATTATTATAGTTTTGATTTTGGTGATGATGACGTTAAGCCATTAGCTTATAATTCTGAAGGTAAACCTTTGAACTGTGGAGATCTTATCAGTGTAAACAATGAAGGTAACTAATAGTTATTAATATTAAAATATATTTATGTATTTTTATCAATTGTTATGTTAATTTATTCTTTGCTTGCAGAAAATGTTGACGAAGATGAAGAAAATGATGACCTCAATGAGAATGTAGATGAAGAAGGAAGTAAAGATGGTGATGAGGAAGGGTCTAGCGAAGAAGCAATGTCAGACGAAGAAGAAAGTAATTTGAATGATTTGAGTGATCTCAAAGAAGATGATGATGAAAACTGTGAAGTGAAAATAAATGGTTCTAAAACTATTGATGATAAAAATAAAACATCCAAACAATTTGTTGAAAAGTTAAAAGAAAAAAAAGCTATAATGGATGAAGCAAGAAAACAACTACCGTTTACATTTAATGGTAATGCATTATTTTTATGATTTACAAACTTAGTTATAGGTTAGTTTAATCTATATGTATGTTAATAATTAAGCAAAGTATGAAAAATGTATTGCTTGAAGTTAAAAAAGTAAAATCTTCACAGCTTTGCATCGAAACTAAAATAACGAACTAATCTAATTAAAAATTGTTTCACTGACAATAGTTTTGATAAAATTGAATTTAAAATAAAATATTAATTAAGCAATTCCCACTAAATTTGTTTATTTGTTAATTCTTAAGTAGTCATAGTAGCAACATCAACATGCTTTTTAATAAATGTATTACTTTTAAAGGTTGCCAACAATTTATTAACTACTTTGGCCCCATTACACTTTTTCTTACTGTGATATTACTATATTTACTTAATTTTTTTTTTAAATAATGATGTAAAAAAAGTTTTGTTAATTTTAAAAAAAGTTAGAATTTCTTTTTTCATGTCAAATATCTGTATATTATAAAGTTTGATAAAAAATAAAATATGGAAACAGTTATTAGCTACAGCAATTAATGAGAACATTTAGCATGTCCACAAGTATAATTCAATAATTGAGTATTATTGCCTTATTAATTATTATTATTATGTTGTTTTTAGTGCCAGAGGAATATGACGGCTTCCAAGAAGTGTTAGAAAACAAATCAATTGTCGATCAAGTTGTTATTGTTGAACGTATGATAAAAGTCAACCATCCGAGCTTAGGAAACAATAATACGTCAAATTTAAAGAGACTTTATCCTTATTTATTACAACATTTAAATGATACGTCGTGTTCAATTGTAAGTATTTATTTTCTAATTACAAATTAATAATTTATTTTGCAAAATATAATGTGTTGTATGTTTTTAGGAAGGTTGGAAACTGCTTAATTCATTGGCACCACATTTTTATGATCTTACTCAATTTTTCCCTGAATATGCTGCCAAATGTTTTATCGATGTATTAAAAGAAAAACATACTGATTTTATCGAATCGAAACCAAAGCAGATAAATTCAGACACTGTAATATTTATCTGCATATTATAGTTTAGTATTTATTAATCTGTGTTATTTTTAATATGTAAATTTTATTTTAGTTAATTTTTCTAAAACTGGTGCCTCTATTATTTCCATCGTCAGACTACTACCATCCCGTTTGTACTTATGCCGTAATGATAGCGTGTGAATTACTGTTTCTTTGCCGAATAAAGACTCGATCTGACATTTCTTCAAGCTTGTTACTAACGACAATTTTATTAGAAGTGTGTATAATTTTTGTTTTTAAGCCCGTAAAATCTAACAAAACTATATTTATAACTACATTTGATTTTTTTAGTATGTTCAACTATCAAAAAGGTTTATTCCAGAAGTTGTTAATGTATTAAGAGGTGTTGTCGGAATGGCGGTGATTGATGAACAGCCAATTAGTTATGTACAGCAGTTTAAGCCAAATATGAAATATTTACTAGTTGGTGATGCCGTATTGCCGGCTAACTGGCCAACCAAATTGGCGATAAAAGAAATATATAATGAAAACGACATTGACACTGAATTTAAACTTACAGCAATATATGTAACATTAGACTTGATTGGGAGATTTAGCCAATTGTGTGATAACATACAAAGTACCAGAGAAATTTGGTCTCCACATCTAAAAACCATTAACAATCTTAAAGTAATTATTAATTTTGAATTTTTACAACTTCAAAAAGCTTGCACAGTGACAAAATCACTTTGATGTGAAACTGTAGATTGTAAAAATTGTGCAATTAAGTTGTTTAACTTTTTAAGTTTTTCTCATAAAAAAATAAGATAAAACAAATTTAAAAAATGTGACAGGTAAAAACATAATATTTTATAAGAATTATTTCCTTAGTAAAAAAAATCGTCTATAAATTATTGAAGGTAAAGTTACTAGCCCTTCTAGGAAAAATAGTTAATGATATTTTCTTGGTTTTTTTACTATACATCGGCAGAATCGTGTTAAAAGAATACCTATACATGTTTGTAAACAAATTCGAAAAATGTTCTAAAATTTGTATTGCACAGTAATTTTAAGTAGAGTATGCCTCCATTTGTAGGATTTTCTCGATTTTAGAATATAAAAGGTGAACTTTTTTAATTTTTATTTTGGCCACAATTTCTGATCTATAGTCTTGCTCTATATAGAAATCGGTTCAGATGTAAGATATTATGGTCTAGAAAGAAAAAAATGTGAAAATGCACACATTGTTATAAAAACAATATCTACAGAACAGCATCAAAGTTAAAAAATGTTTCAGTAACACTAACACAAAAAATTGACAGTAGTTATTGTTTTTTTTTTTGTTTAGCGTTGGTAATTTTTTTTTTATTTGAAAATTTAAATTGTTGTTATTTAGATTCAATCAGATATTATAAATCAACAAATTGATAGAGTTAAAAAAGATTTGGAAACGGTAATCAATAAAAAATTAGAAAAAGTTCAAACTCTGTCAGATAGGCCTAAAGCATTGCGACTTTATGAACCTAGAATTCAAAAAGTGTATGTATTTACTTGCTTTTGTTAAATCGTTTGAGTACTGTTTTAAAATGTAAATAATGGTTTATTTAGGTATGATGGTCGAACGTTTAAAGTAGAATCTAAGGAGAAGGCTGAGCGAACCAAACTAGTAAAATGTTATAAACGTGAGATGAAATCGGCCGTTCGGGAAATAAGAAAGGATAACAGTTTCTTGTCTAAATTGAAGTACCATGAACAAGCTAAAAGGTTTGTGTTCAATATATATATATTTTTTATTCTATAAACTTTGTTTTGGTTTTAAACGATTGGGTCTTTTTTTTTCTAGTGATACGGAGAGACGAAAGAAAGTCAAACAGATTTTCAGTTGGGGTGCAAATCAAGCACATGAAATCAATAAACTCACCAAGAAGAAAAAGAAATAAATTACTTACCTATACCATATTTTGTTGTTACTATTTCATGTTTACATATTAAACAAGTTGTGCTCGATACTAGTTTTTTTTAATAACGATGTGAGTTTATAAATGAAATATTGTCATTTATTTAGTTAACTGTTGACGATAACATCTAATAAGCTGTGAGACATATTTTAAGTAACGATAAAAGTAAAGACCAATTACAAATACAGTATTTTTTTATTTATCCTCTGAAATGAAAGGTAGCATTTTTTAAAAAAAATTTAGCTAAATATATAATTGAATTTGCCGGCGTTTGTAAACTATTATTCCGTCTCGTCTGTGAGAGCCCAATTCATTGTTGTCACAAATCACAATGACCGAGCCAGTTGTTTGCTTGGGCTTCATTAGGTGTATCCAACTCAAAAAATAAGTACAAAATATTTTTTTAAACTTAAACTCTAGCTAATAAAGTATATTTTTATTTGATTTTCTGATTCATTTATTTTACTTTTATATATCATTGTCTATTGAATTCATATACTCATGCATTCAGATACTCATTGTTAGATTGTCTAGCAAATTCAAACTCCATATTCAAAAATACATAAAACAATCCGCGTGTATTGTTATAAAACGAGACTACATAAAAAAAAAAGTTATGTATTGTCAAGGCAGGACAACCTACTAGTGTATTATTTTATATTTTCTGTTTAGTTTACGAGCAATCTCGGAATAAAAAACCAATGCGAAATGGCGATAAAGCGAATTTTTTTTTTTTAAGACACACGAACAAGTAACGACTTGGAGATTTATTCTTTTGAAATCGAGTCCGCTCGGGTGTTTACCAAAGCGGATACGAGCAGGTATTGTTTGGTTGTATACTTTTATGTGCCATTTATGAATCCAAGTGATCCGCGCTCTTCGTTTTATTATGCAAACTAGATATATATTGGTTTTTATGTAACGTATAAACGTGTCAAAACTGTGTATAGTACCGCTGGGTATAGTATACATACATATTGTAGTGTTTAGGTAGCTTTACGTTGTTTAGCGAATTAAACATGGTCGCTTTCAAACCCCCAAAACCATTGTCGTATTTAGAGGGGAGGGTGTCATGTGAGTTAAACGTCTCCCCTCAATTTGCATGTACTCGTTGAATTATTTTAGTAGTTACAATTTTGGGAATAATTGATAATTGCTATTACCAGAAAATTAAATATTAACAAGTACCTCCCAAAAAAACAATCGCAAAATACGTTACCGCTCAACTATCATGGAAAAAAATTATTATTTCTGTTATGATCGTAGAAAATCCGTTTTTTTTTTTATCCAAAATGCCTATAATTCGTCTTGAATTTAGTAGGTATCTAATATGGCGTTTTATTAATTTTGAAAGTTAGTTTGACCGACTAAATCTGACTTTACTATCTTCTTTAACGTAGAAAAATACCTACATTTATAGATGAAAAAATGGTTTGGGGACATAACTTGCTCAAACAGGGAGGACAGGCAAAGGATATTTAAATAGAAATCTAAAACAAGAGTATAGAGAACACATAGGCCTAGAGATCCGATTAGAAACCGTTTTCGTTCCGGTACATTTAGCGAAAGGCTTGGCCCACCAAAGGATGACACCACCAAACGACGTTCTTGACCTTTGAACATTTCTACGGCGCCCGACGTTTATCTTTTAACGTTACCACCTCGGTTCGCATCCATATATTTGTTCTAGCAAGATTGGCCCTAAAGCTATGCGATTCACCCTTTCCCGGACCGGTATATTATGTTTTAAACGATGAGTATATGCGCTTCGGGACCGTCGAGGGTACAAAATATATATATTTTCATAATATATTATATGTGTTTGTATATAAAAGGATGTCTGTAAACGCAATTTCCTTTTCTAATAATACACGACTGAAATCCGTGTAGATGCAACAACATGTATTGTGTGTGTATCTATGTATGTACCTATCGTCTGTATTCTGTCCGGCGAAAACGTCGTCGTTATAATATAATAATAATGTATATACATATATTATAATATGTACCGTATCTGACGGAAAAATAGATCCTTTTCATCCATCGTGTAATTTATTATACCGTAACCGGAATTAAAGTAGTTCGTTTCGCTAAAACGATTACCGCGCAAACGATATATCCATACTTGCATATACTTAATGTTTTTAAGCGACAGTTATTATGAGCTTTACATGAAAAATATTTTCCGGTTTGGGACGGACAGTTTAATAAATTCAGAGCAAAGTTAGCTGTATGTTATACACTGTATTTAACTTCAATCATCTCCATTTGCGGATATATCAGTTTTTGTGTTTATATTTCTAGAACAGCATCTTATTCCACTCCCGATCACTATACTATTGTAAGATAAGTTTGTTTATTTTTCCAAATCTAACATAAGTCTTAATTTTTCATCGTCATTCTTAATTCTATCCGTTACAAAGGCGGATTCAGCATCAGTTTACGGTCTGGGCACTTAATAGGAGAAATTATATCATATAGCTGAGCATAAGCGTATACTAATATTTTAAATATTATTTTTTGCCAACGGGGGTGGCACTTGCCCCCCAGTGCCCCCCCCCCTGGATCCGCCCGTGGTACGTTATTTATTTTGTCCGTCAAGTGTGTATTATTACAACATTTTGAGATTAGTGAATTTTATGGTTAACTTGTACAAACAACAATTCATATTTAGTCCTAAAATTAACAGAACGTTATTATTATACACAATCTCAAGCAGGTAGTAAATGTAAGTTACTATCGCATGCGGAAGAGCACATCTGTTATAAATGGTTATGATTTTGAACGTTTGCACTTATGAAAGCGCCACAGATGAGTTCCTTCAACCATGATGTACGATGACATGAATTAGATTATCAGATATAGTCGTTAATAACAGCGTATAATATATGCTCGTATAAGCTAACACCAATCTAAGTTGAATTTACAAACTCGTCTAAATATGTGTGTACTTAGTATGTTGTGAACTATGTTGTTTTGAAATGTAAAATATTGTTGACTCGTCATGTCTGTCGAGTTAGAAACGAAGCGTTTATGTGTGACATTAGGCCCTAGGCGATAGGTTTTTTTAATTATGATAATACTTGGGTCGTTTTGTACTTGCAGTATAATTTTAAAATTATATTTCTTAATGTTTATTAACACGTCAATGTTACGATGTAGTTGGACAAGGGAAAATTTGAGAAACAAATAAAATTAACAACAATTAAAATTGTTGGTAAAACGTTACAAGCGATTTCGGTTTATTTGAAAACCCTTTCACTACAAAACATATAGGTTAACTCAGAATACATATTTTATTTTTAAATAAATTAAGAGAAACAAATAAAACAGCATATCGAGGTGATGTAATAATATTGAGTATGGTCTAATATTAATTGTTTTTTTGACGATTGCATCAAATTTATTTGTTATGCAATAAATACAAAAATTATTATAGTCATCTAAAAAAAAAAAAAAATAATAATCAATCATACAGAGGGACACGCGTTTAACGAAAACTTTCAAAGAACTCTGTACATAAATACATTTTTTATTGACATTGCAGTCCGACATTATACATAATGAACGTCAACATTAAATTGGCGGTTCTGTTTTTATTCTGACTGGTGTGCAAAATAAGCTGTTAAAGCAAGAACCATTCAAGAAAAAAAAACAGCGTGATAACGACATAAAATAATTTTAAGTTTACTGTTTTTTACAATTGGATAACGTTTTTTTTTTTTTGTAAGTGCTATTTAATATTTCATGCACATAATTTAGGATTTTTATTTAAGTTGTGTTAAATCTTAAAATATATTTTATTGGGTTGCGTTTTTCAATAATCCGCGTATGCACGAAGACACACACGAGATTTTATACAATTTTTTTTGTTAAAAATTGACTGGCATAACTGTTTTTAGCATTTTATACCACACGCACAAGACTAAATTGTTTAGATTATTACTCATTTTCGTTGCAACAACATAAAATAGAATTATTTAGTATTTAATTTTTATTAAAAATAAAAAGACAATTTTTCAGACGAGCTGCAACCACGAAAGAGCATTTTCATGTCTCGTTGAAGTACCGAATAAATTAAAAAAATTTAACATCCCCATCACCACCACCCACCAATATTTTTTATAAAACTTACTAGTTACTGCGAAAAACAAAAAAATTATGCAAACTCGTCTCGTTAGCTTTTGTATTATATTTATTATACAATGGGCAAGTATCATTTCAAGCGAATAAAGGAGTATATTTTTTGATAAATCAATACTGAGGAAACAATATCCCTTTTTTTGTTGTCTTATCTTACACGGAGTGTTGCGATAAAACTACAACCGAAAGCTTGAGTTTTAAGTGTATTGTATACAAGTAGTATTGAACCGTTGTAAGTATGCACGGCACTCGGCTTCTCTGTCAGTTGTATTATACCCTTTCGAACATGACGATGTGGACTACCCGACAAAAGTATAAAGCAGTTATATTTAATTGCAATAGCGAGTTGAAAATGTTCAAAATCTGAACGACCACCGTATTTGCACGAGCATCGATAAGATAAGACTAATATTAAAATGAGCTCCGTTTTTGTTGTTCGCTAGTGACGGTAGCATTATAGGTATGACCGACCTAATTGAATTGACCTTCCGCTCACGGACACTATGCTTGTACACCAGTAGCTCTGTTTAACAGGCAAAACACGAGACAATAACATAAACAACAGTAACGGTTTAATTTGCAAGTATACAGTCGAGGAAGATCTCTAAATCCAATATTATTCCACCTTAGTAGTACCAACTATCAACCAAAAATAAATACGCCACGTCCAAATAGGTGCAACCGAAACGCAAAAGCAGTATTTCGATTTTGAAAATGAATTCAAAATGTTGGGCGTTTGTCATGATGACAACTTGACTGAAAATTTGTGTATTTAGTTGGTTTTATCTTATTCTCCACCCTAGTCCATTAGCCGGTCGTTGTCGAGCTGGCCGTGCTCAATATCGTTGACTTTATTTAATATTTTTAAAGCACTAGATATTATACTAGGGCCAACGACCTATATTATG